TAGTTTGGCTGTCAATAGTTTTTAAAACTTTTAAATGGCAAGCAAATTATTCTTTAATCAAAAACTAATAACCTCAAGCGCTATATTATTATTTATTCAAACATAAAATAATGAACGCCTTAAACAATCTTACAATATCTATACACACATATATAAATACATAACACAACATCTATTTTTGAAAACTTAAATATTTTCACATGTTATTGCACATGAAGGTACTATATAATTTAAAAATCGAAAATAAAATGAAAAAAATTTCGATTCGGGCAGGACTTGAACCGGCATCGTCAGCGTTCCGTGCTGTTACTCTACCAATTGAGACTCGGTAGCTCAACTCCTGCCCGAGTCGAAAATTTTTTGAATTTATTTTCGACTTTTAAACAACACCTATACTAAAAATAATATAGATCTTGCGTTCACATAATATTAACATTAAACTTTAGACACGACTGTTATTAAGATGAATTGAGATCTCACTCGTACACTTAACTCATCAAGCTATTGTTTTCATCTGTTTCCTGCTTTGTAATATTCATAATTAATTTTTTACTCTAGCACTTGAGAATTGTAGATAATCCAATTAGTTTAATTACGAACGCTACTACCAATTTACGATTTATTAATAAAAAAATAGCGAACTATGACTATTAGCGTTGATACTAACAAAGCTTAGGCTTTTTTTTTATTAGTTAATCCATAAATAATGTGTTAATTTTAATTATACTTGTTTTAGAAACTTTCTTTTTGAATATAAATTATTATTGTTATGTATGTATAATAAATTTAATAAGTTAGTTTTGATTCTTTTTAATGTCATGTTTCATAGACATCATTTAGTAGTTTGTATTTTTTTGTAATAATTTGTTTCAATAAAACACTTTAACGGCTTAAAAAATTGTTTAACTACGGCCTGACGTTTCACGTGGTCACGGGAGACCACGAACTTCGGGCCGTGGTTAAAATAATCTTCAAATACCCTGAACTGATATCTATCGCGTTTTAAACCGTTAAAATGTTTTATTTAAATGTGTACTGCTTTCGTATTTAACCAATTACATTAATTAGTTATATAAACGATAATAAGGACATTAACAATAGTTATAAAATTTAAGAAGCTCGGGTACAACTTCCTACCGCCTTTTCTTAAACACGATAACATTTAGAACGCGGCCGTTCGTAAAACAAACTTAATTACTAATGTAGCATTGTTCGTAAACTTTTGTAAAATATCCTTATGCAGATGATCTGAAAAGATAATTTTTGCAACTGTATTCGCCTGTCTTTTCGCGTACTTTCCACGTTTACTAGGAATATGAGAAGAAAAATACCTTTTTGTATTCATGTTTATCATACATTTTCTACAAAGTTAAATACGTAACATGTTTAGCCGGTATGTAGTACATATATTGGAAAATGTATAATGCTATGAAGAGGAAAATTCTTCTCAAAATTACATGATTCAAATAACATTATGTAAATAAACTAGCGACATTTTTAACCTTTACGTAAATATAAAGCGCTAAATAGAAAATGTTATTTGTTTTTCCTAAATTTGTAGTACTGCGCAAAAATAAAAACTTGGTATTTTAATCGCTTTAGACGTACCTAAGTACCTACTATCAAATCACAATAAATTATTAGTAATCACAATTCACTGATATCATCTAGTTACAGACGAGAGAAAAAGTACTATTATTGGTGCCCAACTAAATAAAAGGTAAGTAAAACAGTTATTGTTCCTGCGAAAATTAAAAAAAAATACTACATAGCGTTTCTTAATATGTAATTATATGTTAATACTTAAACAGAGAGCTTTAATCACAGCGTATCTATACAAATATTATATCAGGGAAGCTATACAATCTTTTGGTGATATCGTTGCGTGTGTTGCACATCAGTTTAAGATACCGAAAAAACATAAACAAAAGAAACATTCTTCTTTTAATGGTCTACAAAATGTCCGCCACCGTATACGTCTATCTTTTAAGAAAAACTCACAATAAATGTTTATAGTCGAAATACTTAACAAAACAACGTTTGTCTGTTCAGCTAGTAGAATATATGTAAAGATAAGCTAGCTTATACATAGCTAAGCTTAATATTGAAGTTAAACAGTCAGTGAAAAGCGTTTGTTAAACTCGAATCGATCAACCAGTCCATTAATCACTAACAATGTCCGTTTAAGTATTGTCAGGTACAAAGGCACTAATTTGCAGATACTACCACAATCACAATATTTGCTTTGTGCCATTTTTCGCTGGTTGCACATCGTGTGAACACTTTTCATTTAAATTTATTGTTGAAATTCTGGGAAAATTCAAATTTAACTCTTTGTCGTGAAGTAATTGTGTAGGTACTTTATATGTATGAATCATCGTTTTCTGTTAATTAGACAGAAACCGATGAATGAAATTTCCTATCTTTACGCTGCTTTACTTCAAATCAGAAATGTATTAGTTTTAATACTAACAATGTCCCGACACTTTCTTCTAGAGGAATATAGACAAGCATTGGATTCCCTTGATTGGTAGATAAAATAACCCAGCCTATGCTGTGGATATTCAACGGAAACGCAATTAAACTTGACGGATGTTTCATCTGTCAGACATTGGTTCTATTTCCTACCACCTACATATTTAATATACAGATTTCCAGACGAACTCCAACATGTGTTCCAAAATTATAAATCTATACTAATATTATAAATGCGAAAGTAACTCTGTCTGTCTGTCTGGCTTTAACTCCGAAAATACAGAACTGATTTAAATGAAATTCGGTACGTAGATATTTTAGAACCTGAGAAAGGACATAGGCTACTTTTAATGCCAAATAAGGTTTGATAGGGGTTGAAAAGGGGACGAAATTTAGTATGTAAATTCGTGGTTTATGAGACTTTCTTCTTTGGCTGTTTATGAATAGGAATAGTTGTGGGAGTAGGAGTGGGAGTGGAAGTGGAAGTGGGAGTGAGTGTAGGAATGAGAATGGGAGTTAGAGCAGGAGTGATGTAAGGTGAGAGTGTTGCGGCAAAGTAGCACTTACAACAAAGATACATTTATTAATAAACAGCCTAATTAATTAAAAATTCTACCCCAGTTCATTAAAAAATGGTTGCCCCGGTGGGGATCGAGCCCCGATGAATTCAAGTGAATTTCTTATTTTTATATTAAACCGTTTGACATTTATATTTGCCCGAAGGCAAAGATACTGTTTAAAAACAGTATCTTTGCCTTCGGGCAATTATAACGTAGGTACGTTAAATTGGGTAAAAAACGTTAATGATCATTAGCGTCACTTTTGTGCGAGTGCTCTGTTAGTGTTTGGAAAACAATGAAAATGTTCCTACAATGTTGTTCTTATGTCAAGGACTGTACGGGTGTATATATTATTTTATCAGAGGAAAATCAACCGTTACGTAAAGAAATACGGTTCAAATACAATTCTTTCGAGATTGTGATGCACCTTATTACCTATTTGTCGTTTAACGTGTTATTGTGTGTGTTTAGATTTTTAGAACTATTGTTCAAGTCAAGAGACAGTTTGCGTTTCATTAATTAGTTTTTTTTTTAAGTATTTAGATTTCTCTAAGAGTAGTGATGAATCGTGACATATTTTATCTCCATCTAATACAAAAAGATTATAAGTTTACAGTCTGTAATCGTAAGGTGACGCAACGGTAAAAGTATACTGTCGCAGACTTCTTTTAGGTACTTTAAAGAGACATCATTCTTTCATACATATTTTTTGGGTATCTTGAACCGTTTTCGAAGCGTACGCAATGAAAACCCACAAGGATGGATAATTTTCCGCTGTTTTTTAGCTCCTATTAGTCACCTACTTCTGACAGACTGAGATGATAGAATGCGTTTGCCCCATGCCCCATGGGGGTAAACAGGATTCTACTTTCATATTGAAAAATTATATACATATATATGCAAGTAAGATTTAAGACATAACAGTTACGGCTCGTACCCCTACTTCGCATGCTATACGATATAATACTCGAACATAATTTTGTAATATTTAAACATTACGTTTCATACATTTTCCTGAATATGTCGCAGCTACGTAGAAATCATAGCTTGATTTTGCTCCTCTGTGGAGATTCAAAAATAACTTACTCCAGTAACAATCAAAAGGCTGTAGCAAATCTATACTAATATTTTTAAGCTGAAAAACTAAGACGTCGGGACGCGCACGAAGCCGTGTGTAACAGCTATAATTTATTAAGCTGCTTGATAAAGCTAATTATAATAACATGCCCAAAATAAATATCCTATGCGGACGTCGCAGACATAGCTAGTTACTAATAATTAGAAAACGATAACAAATTTCGTAAATAATAAGTCTGGTATTGATATTGAGTTATCGGCCATATTATTAAGCTTTTATAAATTCATATTTTATTTTCTTCTTTCAAATATATGTAATTGTTTAGTCTCTTTGAGTTAAAACACTTTTAACGGTTTACTCACTCCGCTGGCGCAGCGAACCAAAATGAGTCTTGGCCTCCGAAACTAAAGAGCGCCATTTTCGCCGATGTTGCGCGGCTGTTCGCCATTCGCGAGATCACGCAAGTCCTTCTCTACGGCGATATACGCTTTCTTGACACTCCGATCATTTCCCATTCTCTCCAAATGCCAGCCCGGCGGAATTTTTAACGGCTTAAAACGCGAAATAGTAGTGAACTAGTTCAGATTTTAGTAACTACGGCCCCACGTCGAGTATATATATTTCGCGTTTTAAACCCTTAAAGCGTTTTATTGTAAATACTATGGACAATACTTGGTTAGTCACAAGCTGTACTCGAATGGAAGTTACCATTAGTGAGTTGAAACTCATGGTAGGGGTACTGACATTTATTTGCGAGTCCTTGAGTACTCTGGTAATCGGGTGGTGTTGCTTAACTATAGACTCAGAGGTGAAGAAAATAAAGCCATTCACACGTAACCAGTCGCCAACGACGCTATTGCATGCTCTAGCTTAGAAAAGTAATAGAAATGACAAGTCGTTTTATTTTTGTGTGTCTGTGCCTCTGTTTCCAGGGAACGCTGCAACTCGTACCTTTACGTGAGTATAAAGATAAAAAAGCTTTTTTTAAGTCACGCCAAGTCAACAATTGTAATTGTTTATTAAATTTTATTAAAGTAAATAAAATAAAAATAAAAAAATTTCGTCTTATCTTAATTCGTAAAGTTTTACACACTGAATTATGTTCAAATGTTTCATTAAAATTTTCAACGTAATTAAAAAGAGACATATTGCTCCTTAATTTCAAATTAATGAAAAAAAATCTTAAAAATCTTAAATTTTAAAACATTTTGTAAACATGACTACAGTTAATATCAAATTAAATTTTACATAAATCTACAAAACCCTTATCTTTAAGAATTAAACTTAACTCTAAGGACACGAAATAGAAATAAACAAAAATAAATACTGTTGTAATCCAAATTTTGGCAAAAACACGAAATCTGGTTCATGTAAATGTATAAATTTTCAGCGGATTTTATCCATCCATGTAAAGAATTAACCGACGAATGCTTTACGAAAGCAACCCTGGATGCAATTCCTGGTGTGGTGAAGGGTATACCAGAAGCAGGGATACCTCCCCTAGATCCGTTATACTTGGATAAGAACATCACTATGGATCTACCGGGAAACGTGAAAATGACTTTCCATAATGGAAAACTCGTCGGTCTTAGTACGTGCATTCCAGACAAAGTCTCGTAAGTATCTTTGTATAATATTTAAAAGAAAAATCTACGAGACAAAGAAATGTATGGCAGACAAATTAAGTGTTTTTCCGACTGAAGTTATTTAGGAACATAATACCATTTTCCCACATTTTCCCAGGGTTCGAATCCATGACCTCTCGCGATTACCGCAATTCATTGAGACACCGCCACGATATTGTTTAGGTATATTATAACTTTAAAGTTTCTAATAATCACTTTTATTTGAAAACCATAATAAGATAAACGTACGTTTAAAAAAAATACGCGAAATATATTTCATAAATACAGACAGTATTCAGTAGTAGAAAAGAACGCAGTCGAAAACAAAGAAAAAAATAATATCGTGGAAAAAAAATATAGTATTCGTTATTTTCTAATATTACTCCCGTTTATCTTCAATAAATTTAAGAGACGAACACACAAACGTGTACATTTCGAGCTATTCTTGAGCCTTCATAGTTCAGTAAAAATGTTTAATACACTGTTTCTTTTGGATTGCAAAAAAAATGTATGCTTTGTTCTATTGTTAATACAAACGGAAAACTCATTAACCAATCGTGTATGTTATTTCGACACGGTCACCATAATATGCATATTAGAAAAAAATCAAGTTTTTATTATAAATGCTAAAAACGAATTCTTGGATTTATTTAGTTTCGTTGTTGTAATTGATTGCTACCATCGCCAAGGGGCCGTAGGTTCGATCACCGCCGGAGTCCAACATTTTTCCAATCAATTTATATTTGTGAACCATGTTGGACTTCGTCGTGGAATCTGGATATTAAATGTTTGGGAGGAATATCAAAATTCCGCCCGGGTCACGCATCAAGGGCCAGACATGAAAAAGCCGACAAGTTTAATCGGTTTCGGTTCAGTCTATGGATTTCCGAATAAAGCCAAATTAGGTCGACCGCACATATTATTTAGTTTATGTGACTGGGGTATTCACATACCATCCAATGAACACCATCGTTGTCTGTTCACCTCTATGGTAAAAAAAACTCTGACGACTCACGACATTTCTTAACAAGAATTATTACATTTAAATAAAACACTTTATCGGTTTAAAACGCGATATATTAGTTAAACTTATTTGAAAAGTTTAATACACTGTTTCTTTAAACAGTGTATTAAAGTCTCCCCGTGACCACGGCTGCTGCAAAGCATCCGAAACGTCGGGCCGAAGTTAAAAATAATTTTCAAATAAGTTTAACTAATATATCGCGTTTTAAACCGTTAAAGTGTTTTATTTAAATGTGTACTACTCGCGTAAACTATAGACAGTATTAAAGAATTATTACTTTTATATGGGTAGGACAATATTGGACTTAATCTTAATAAACGATAAATTGTTATTTTACTAATTATATCCGAATTTATAAATACCTTTACTTATCGTTGATGGTATATTTTGCCACAGAAGAATATTGCATTACATAACTGTGTTGCCACTAACGCAAACCAGTTCTTAATATTGAAACCTGCATAAACATCTACTAGTCCACTTAATAGCCTAAATTATTTCGACAAACTATTAAAAAGCCCAACCTCCAACGTTGTTAGTCAAATGGTAGCAATATGGCTCCCAATCATAGGGGTCTTGAGTTTGACTCCCACAGAGACTAAACTATTGTTGCTAACTTAGTGAACATTGTTTAAAACGTCGGTCCATAGTTAAATTACATGTTTTCAAGTTTAACTAATATATTTCGCGTTTTAAACTGTCAAATGTAAAACGTAAATAGAAAACCTAAACAATATTTGGGTAAATTGGTATTTCGGCAGAAGAGTAAATATAAAATTTCGATTTAGTGTGTGGATTTTCTTATATCCATGAGAGCGTTTTTTTAAATTCAAATCTAAACTCTGTTGTAAAAATAACATTATATCGAACATACGACTCGATAGCGAGTCTAATTTTTTAAATATCTATCAATAAAATCTTGAAGTCAATTGAGTGAATATTCTACTAATCTACCTAAAATACGTGAAGTAACATATTTTTCATTATATAATTTCTCCGAAAAGTCTTCGATTTCGTTAGGAAATCTAAATATTCAATGGGAGGTAGGAATATCGAAAATTTCGTCCACATCATGATAAAAAAGCCGAACAGTTTAATCGCGGTTTCAGTCTCAGAGTTTCCAGATATCCAAAGCCAGCCAAAATAGGCCGATAGCGGGCATCTTGTTACGATGTCATATGGCTATGGTATTTCTCCTTCCATCAAGGTGCCCCATGATTGTCCTCCTCGATTACTATTAAAAACTCAGGTTTTACTAGTGCTAGTAACATAATTGATCGTAAATTTTAATTGCGCACACGATTTTATCGTTTGATCATAGGTCAATATTTATATAGTTAGCAAGAAACACTAAAACTTAGACGCACTCGTTAAACATGACCTTGTTTGAGGATGAATCTGAAATATAACCGACGGATGCTTAAATTGTTATCAATTAGAAATTTTGCATCATGCGATATGCAAGGACATCGATTCTTAACATTATAAATGAAGTATTGTGTAAGTATATCGCGAGACTGAACACAGATTTCTAGCTGTCTTGATGAACGTTTTTTTTTGTCATATGAAATATTTCGACCAAATTTGATTACGAAGCTTCTTTAAGTTAATATTAAAAGATAGACATTTTGCAAAAAAAAATCTCACCTTAATTAAGAGCCTGATCTCTTAGCATAAATAAATGCTCCAACCAACACAAAACACAAAATAATTTTTCAATTTGAACCAGTTGTTACCCGAGATTATCGCTTGAACCCGGTACAAACAAACGAACTCTATATATATCTATAGCTTTGTATTAGTAGTATACGTACATCATCTTAGTCTATTTTTAAATCATGTCAAAATTTTCATATCATCAAGGCATCAAACTCCCATCCTCGCTGTCATTCGTATACTATGATAATTCATTATATTTTCAGATCCCGTCGTGAAAAGCGAACTTTTGTCTTCGACATGCACTGCAACTTTACGATTAGAGGACAGTACAGCATTGTTGGAAGAATTCTGCTGTTCAATCTTAACACAGATGGTGATGCCAAAATTAAAATCTGTAAGTCAAGTATAATCTGTAATTTTCACGGTTACACATTAAAGAAAACACTTTCAACTGTTTAAAACGTGAATTATAACATGGTTAACTGTTTTTTATCTATAAGTCTCTAAATGTTTAAATAATATTTAAATATTTTGTTTACTTATACTAAGTGTTTGTAATTTGTTTAACTTAACACATTTAAGTGTTTATTGCCATGTTCTAAGATTTATTGAAATTAGTTTCGACAATTAGTCTATTTACATAATACAATTCTAGTTAAGTTATACTTTTAAACTCTCATGTTGTAGGGAACCAAAGGATACGTCTCGAAGTTTTCGAAAAGGTCGTAAAAGACAAAGATGGCGAAGGTCACTACAAGGTCAATTCTTACAAATACAAAGCGGATTATGGAACCGATCTCAAGCTTAACCTAACGAATCTATTTAAGGGAAGTCCGGAAATCAGTAAGTAGAAATTATTTTAAAAAATATATTCTCAAATCCATCCTTTACTTACTCCATCATGGTACTCTGTAGTAAAATTATTGTGCGCTATTATCTGTAATAAGAAACATTTTAATTTTCTAATTCCATATAATATATATTGCGCATTATCTGTTATAATTACAGATAATGCAAAACTTATATTGGACATTGGAAATTTTAAATATACATATTGTAGAAGAATTAATTCAATAAAAAAAATACAGATAATGATATTTCTGTTTTAGGTGCCAATATTCTCGAAGTTCTAAATTCAAATTCTCAGCTGGTTGCCCAAGAGTTTGGCGGGCCCATTCTAGACTACGCCATAGACTATGCCATGAACGTGACTCAAAGGTTCTTTAGTACTTACACATACAACCAAATTAGCCACGTACCTTTGACTGAAGATTTCTTTGAAGATAGTTAACTTAAGATAGTTTCTAGGCATAGATTAAGTTATTCTTATATGTTCATGGTTAAGTGTACATTTGATTATATGTATATTATTTATTGGAAATACTTATAGATATTATCATTTCTACAATATTTTGCAAGAATATTAGCAACGCCTTTATAGATAGTTCGAAAAGTCAACACGGTCTTGTGTTGCTTAAAAACTGGAAATTACAAAATAACTAATAATCGTTTTGTAACGCGGCGCGCACTCGTTTTTTCTATGTCAAATATTTTTTTTTTGAGAGCATCTTTTTAATTAGTATAAGTTTTAAGTAGATATTTTCAAGCATATTATATTAATATATCCGTGTGCATGCCATAGCACCTTCGTGACGAAAGATTTTTGACCTTACACTGCTAAGCTAGTTGTGCCAAATTATTTCGTACCACCTAAAAGATGAGTGTTAATTTTTTCAACACAAATATCATTTTATAATAATAATGTTCAAATTGACATTAGACACTTTTCAATCCAATGTACGAGAGTATAAAGTAGACTAGATAAGACAATTTTCTTCCTAAAAATCTTTGCTCTTTAAAGCATGTTCAAAAGCAAGAATTGTCAAAAGATGGTTCAGCTGTTCTTGAAATAATTAGAAGTAGTAGATTTACGAGACACAATTTGAATAAGTCAAAGTATTGAGAAACTGCAACGAATAATATAGACCTATTTAAATTATCTAAAGAGACTTATGTTAAACCAACATGGATGGTATTAAATATTAGATAACATTAGAGAATACAAAACAGAATAGCCGAAGGGCCAATGGTCTTGATGACCGTGAACATAGAGCTAGTTACTTCTAGAACGTCCCCGATGACATAACATCACCATATTGCACACAAACATGTAGGTATGCAACAGCTTACGAAACTATTTTAGCGGGTCAAAATGTACGCTTAGCCATGTATATTAAACTTATTACGTTGAAGTATTAAATACGTTAATTCGAAAATGTCTTTTACTGTCCATATTTTAACTAGCAAAGGAAACATCATTAAACCGGAGGCTGTAATATAAATTGACGTGAAATAATAATGACGAGCTCGTTGGTTTAGTGGTATGATATGATGTATGGCTAATATTTAACGAGTCTTGGATTCGAGCCCCACCGGATTCCTAGTAAGGGGTTGTTCATTAATCACGTGAGGCTTGAAAGGGGGGGGGAGGGGTTTGATAAAAATCTAAGATATCGACGACAGCGCATCTTGTTAAAATTATATATGGCTTATATATACGTATACTTAAACAATCATTCCGCAAGAACCAACTATGTATAAATGGTTGACCCGACCAGATGTGTAATCAACCCACAAATCAGAACAAATGGAAAACCACTAGCCGACGACCGGCGGCTGATCAACACTTACATGTTTTCATTATTACGAGACCATTTCATTAAAACCGATCAATGTACGTCCATAAGGATAATAATATAACCCCCTTTCCACTTTAACCAATATACATATATTTAAATAAAACGCGATATATTTTACGTCACGGGGAGACCATGATCCGAAACGTCGTTAAAAATAATTTTCAAACAAGTTTAACTAAAATATACCGTGTTTTAAACCGTTAAAGTTCTTTATTTACACACAGTATTCAATATACATATAACGTAAACTAACTCGGATATAACTGTATGGCTGGGTTTTTATAATACTTATAATAACAAACTATACAATATTTACTTAAGTTCGCCTGTTGGCAATATTAAAATCATGTTTGTTTCACTTAATACACAGGCCCATATTAAGAATATCACTTATTTTTACAAATTACTAATTCATATATAGGTTATATATTATTGTTTTTTCATAATTATTTTATCCTAATGCTTGCTTTTTTATATAGTTAGTGGTTATACATTATGTATCATAAATAATATATAATCTGCTTTGAAAAGATATTTCAAGTGACATCACATTTTTTTCTGTTTTATTGCGAATATTTAAACATTTTTCTTGTTATAATAGCAAGTGTAAATAAATCTTATTAAAAGCTTGAGGTGAGAAAAACTGAAGAATAAATAAAATAATGATTAATTTTAAAGTATTGAAAATTTTCCTATTTATAATATTCAACACCGCGTACGAGCGGCAATTTACCGCCATTCAAAACTATCGAGCACAGATACAAAATTATTTGTATCATGCTAGTATAGAATTTGTCAGAGTAACCGAAAAACAGACTAAAAATGTTCGAGTACTTACCATAAAGTCCGCGCAACCCAAATACTCCGTTACCGAAATTTAAACGAATCGTATGACATAAATGAGGGCAATTTTCGTGACAAAAGACGTTCTTAAAATTGCATTTTCGTACCGGTCGTTTTCCGAGATCCGGTATTTGGATCGTATAATATTTATTTGTTAGCAATCCGTTCCTGTCATCTGCGAACACGCGAGATACCGATATCGTCTGAAAACTTTGATTGTGAATTTATTCTTTGAGTAAATTCGTTGAAACTGTTTTTTTTTAGCTCACTGAAAATTTGATTTATAAAGCCAGGAATAGACTAGGGCATAGTTGTCTTCCGCGAGAACATATGATTTTTTTTCAATAATATTTAGTAACTACTAAATCTATATCAATACATAATGCTAAAGAGTTTGTTAGTTTCAACGGGGTAATCTCGGGAGCTACTGGTTCAAACTATTTTTTGTGTTGGTTAGAGCATTTATTGAGGAAGGTTGGAAAACTGCTATGTAACTAATATGAGCGAAGAAATAGCGGGAAATGTGAAAAAAACTGAGAAAATTAGTCTCTGTGTTGGTGTTCGATCCGTAAGTAGCGCTAAAAAAATATATGTATGAAAGAATGATTCCTCTTTAAAGAATAAAAAAAAAATCCGCGACACTGTGTTTTAATTTTTAAGATTAACATGAAAGAACGACGGTACGCGACCGACGCGATCGTGGGTAACAGCCTAAATATATACATATGAAGAGATTCGCAAAAACAAATTAGATTCAATTGGTAGAGCAATAGTACAGAACACCGTGGTCCTGCATTCGATTCCCACGTTCCCATATAATATTATCCCTCATAATAGTATAAAAAGTTATCACAAACTGTTTGTTTTCATTTCCAAACCGCTTATAACGTTGATTTATTAATCACTACGTACAGTCGGCGAGTAAATCCAATCCAAATAATGGTGCATAATAATATGTTGCCCGGTAATCAATTTGGAGGCTCTAATTAATTTGTAGCACGTGAACAGAACTATTACGCTGAAATTACAGTTCATTTGTGTGTAAGTATCGTCAAATGCAAAATGCATAACATATTTATATTTTTTATTACTACTTTTCTTTTCATTATCAACATACCTTTCAAAATATTTGACTAAAAATCATTTAAAAGGGATTTTAAGAATTATAATCTAGATTTACATTGTACTTGCATTGCCAAGTTGTGTTAAAATTCGTTGATTTTTGAAGTAAAATATATAATAACTTACATTGGAACCTTTTTATATATGGAAAATAATACAAAAAAAAACATTTTTTATGTATTCCATAACTTCGTTACAGAAAAACAGCAATTAATTTCAAATATCAATTCATACACAATTATTTTTTCAAAGTACACTTTTCCGCAGAACTTTCCAAATGCCATTACACAGTGCAGACTACAGACCATAGTATATTGATCTGAGCGAATTTACTGTGTACATCAGTATAGAAGCAGTTTGCACGGCTAATGGAAAATCTATAATCACTGTGGTTTATACTGTGCCAATATGCAATTTGTCAATATTGTCTGCGCCATGCTTTTGCTGTTATTAAAATGCATACATTTTTACTGAGACTGTTATAAGTTAGTTAAATTTATACTAATATTATGAAGCTGGAGAGTTTATTCGTTTGTTTGAACTACTGATTCTAATAAAATTCTTTTTATGTTGATTGGACTAATGGTAAAAATGTATGGTGACAATTTATGGCAAATAATCAATGGATTATGGTTTCGATCCCAACCGGGTATAACATCTTACTAATTAATTTCAAATTGTTCTGAAACATGTTGTAGGTACTTCGTCTGGAAATCTCAATATTAAATGGATGATAAGAATATGAAAAAAAAGTATGAAATAAATAACATATTTTCATTGTTAATTATTATAGTTTTCTTATTTCTTAATTAACGGTCCGCAAGTGGCCGAGTGGTCCTAGGTTTAAGAGTAAAAGGAAGTCCATAAAAATTTAATTATTAATCTTTAAATAAAACACTTTAAAGGTTTAAAACGCGATATATTAGTTAAATTTATTTGAAAATGATTTTTAACTACGCCCCGACGTTTCAAATAAGTTTAACTAATATATCGCGTTTTAAAGCGTTAAAGTGTTTTATTTAAATGTGTACTACTCGCGTAAACTTTACACAGTATTTAATTATTTTTATTCATATTTTTGCAGTAACTTCTTTTATTTCATAGATAATCAAAATGTCACCATGGATAAGTTATATTGGTTTGACGCACCATTTGATGGTGCAGTTTTTTCTCCATATGTGTCATCAGACATGACATTAATCACCGAGCCACCCTGGCCTAGCATTAATATATCATCACATCCACCACCCCAACTTAAAATCCGGACGGAAGTAACTATTTGTTCCGTAGAACTAAAAGAAGATTACACACATATACCTTTTCGAATCTGATAATCGTAGAACCAAAGATGTTTTATGCTTTAGGAAAACCTTGCTCGAGAATTAACAGTAGTACATTTTTTTTACACTAGCTGTTTCAGCGACTTCGTCCGCGAGACGTTCTTCGTAATTTTGGGCATCCAAATTTGATTTGGCAAATTCCGATCTTTATAAACTTAAGGTGTTATCCACGACGGTCGCATCCCTTCCCGTCGTTCTTGCAAGTTAACCTTTGAGCAATATTTATAGACAAATAGCGAAAAACAGGAAATGATTTTCCTTTTTTTCTCACATTTATCGCTGTATCTTCGCTTGTACACTTACTCCATAAATGCTCTTCTCTTACCAACAAAAAAAAATTCAATTCGAACCCGTAGTTCCTGAGACTAGCGCGTTCAAACATACAAACAACCTCTTCAGCTATATACTAGTATAGAGTATATTATATTACGATCTTAGGTAATTGCAATATCAAAATATTTGATTGAAAGATGTGCTTCCTATACGTGTGCCTTTTCTTAATATACACGATATTCCGTTTCCGTGAGGCGTGGGCGAACACATTTCTGTGCCTGTTTCACTATGTATCCAGGTTTCCAGACGAAGTCCAAAACTTCTCAGAAAAATCGACGACGGAACTTACGGCCTGTTGATTATAAGCGATACATTGGACTAACAGCCAAGTTCATTTAAATAGATTTCTTTTTACCAGACAGATCAAAATAAACTTAGAAAGTTTTTAAGAGTAATCTCGCAAGTCCTCAGCCTACTATCAAATAGCAATATCTATTTTAACTACCCTCATTTCCCATCCCTCATCGGTTTCAGTCATAACAAAATCGTCACGTAAATGAAACACACGTTTTGTCGTTATTTTCATAGCGATTCCGCCTTTGGGGTGCAATTGGATACGTTTTTTGCTGAAGTTAATTCGAGGTGTAAAAAACGAGGGGCGGCTAGGATACACTTATCTTTCGCGCGGACATGTTATCGTGGGTAGACTGAGATTCTAAAACATGGGTATAATTTATATATCTCTTTATGATAGAGAAGGAGAGAAAATGAACCGCATTAATGGAAGGTGCAATAGCTTATATAATATCTTGACACTGCGCAACTGTCATTTAGCATCAATCTTTTTACACAATAGTCAGGTAAATATTGTCAGAAGTGTATGCTAAATACTGTCTAAAGTTTACGCGAGTAGAACACATTTAAATAAATCACATTAACGGTTTAAAACGCGATATATTCGTTTAACAGCCGTGGTCACGGGAAGACTGGCGGCAAAGCACCCGAAACGTCGGGCCGAAGTTAAAAATCATTTTCAAATCAGTTTAACTAATATATCGCGTTTTAAACCGTTAAAATGTTTTATTTAGAAGTGTATGCTAGTATTAAGACTTAACTGTTTAACACACGAAATATATTAGTTAACTTAGTTTCGATTTTAAATAACTACGGCACGTTTTGGACGATTAATTAAAAAAAAACGGTTCCGGTATTTGATATCTTGAGGCCGTCCTATCAATTAAATTTGAAATTCCATATTCCTAATTGATTGATTGGTAGCAGTTTTATTTCATATCTACCATTTGCGTAAACTACATATAAGACTCTTTTTAATACCAAAGACATTGCAATTAGGTTTTTTAAATCGTCGCGTTATAAACTTACATCGTGTGATATTTCGCTTTAGAGCTTATTGGATGTGTTAAAAATAAATTCCTATTACAGTTTCAGTATCACAGCTCTCTAGACACTAATGACATCTCAGCTAGCTTGTAAAGACATCCGTCATTCCACGCTTCACAGAACGACCCTTGTGTTCTTAACCGCGCTACTTACCTTCCGCCATTTTAACTACGACCCCGGATCTTGAGGGTCGTCTAACGCATTTAAAACATAAAAACCGTTTAGAAAGCTCTCGCTAGAGTGGCTCGCTGATTTCAAGGGTGTAATGTGTCATTTCCGATAAAAATTTTAAGGAAAATCTAAATTTAACACTCTTTTTTAACGTGTATTTTACTTATTTTGCAATTTTAGCTTTTAAATATTTTTTTCGTCCCTTACTGTTACTTACTTGTCTACATCTCTCTCTAATATTTGAAATTTAAACCTTAAATTTAAAAGTACCTACTTGTCAAGTTGTTTTTAATCGAGATGTTGGCAAATTTGATATAAAAATAATTTACTGAAAGCTTATTATAACAATTTTGATGATTTAAATAGCTATATTTGTTTTAAATAGAGCTATTTAGGTACTTGGGGTACCTAACCTCACTTGTGTCTAAGATTTTCTTAACTAAGGCCAAAAAGAAAGTGGTCAAAAATCTAAATAGATTTAAAATCGATGACACATGCGGGTTTTAAACCGGCATTCATAGCGTTTCGTGTTGCTGCTCTAACTAAATAGAGTTTTTAATTTAGATAATGCCATCAACACGTGAAAAATATTAAAGTTTCTAAAAGAAATTAGTAATTTGATATCTATAGACTGAAGTCAAATTATCTCATATTTCATTCCAATCATAGTACACCTGATAGTAAGTATAAAACGTCAGGCCGTAGGTAAGTTTAACTAATACAATTCGCGTTTTAAACCGTTAAAGTAATAAGTACTAATTTCATTTTTCTTTCCAATTTCATTTTCACAACTTAATTAAATCCTAAGCAATTTCATACATAATAACGTGCATATAAATGAAAATACAATTAATTATTTCGTTTCCCTCTCAGCACCTCGCTAACAAGATCCAGGAATGCAATGAAAAACCCAAAATCTGCGCCTGCGACGATTGAAGGTATTCCATGGGCGGTATGATGATACATTGCTGCAAAAACAGTGGTGCTTTGTAACTGTCGTTCTATGATGAATGACTAGAGGTGATGAGTTGGAAAATAGCATCGTTTGATTTATCCTAATGACGTTTAAAAATAGATAAATGGGATTTTGCTAAGTATTAGTCAGCTAAGATTTAGACATTATATAGAACTAGTTGTGGCCGTGACTTAGTCCGCGTGGAATAGTTATTTTTGGCGTCATGTAATTTTTTTTGCCAAACAACCTTCTCAGTCCCGTCGCATCGTTCTTGCGAATTGCTATTGCAGTTCCTGAGATTAGCTCGCTTGAACAAACAAACACATAAGCTTTATATATTAGTATAGGATGCCTCATTACAGGAACGTATGTAATGTAAAAAATGACTATTTCTATTATATTGTGGAATAAAGTACTAGTAAATGTACTTTATAGCATATTATACACCAATTTCAATATCGTAATGTATCTCATTACGTACTTGTGCGATAATGTAATGTAAAAGGCACGGGTTTTTTTTTAATAAAGTTTTAAGATACTCCGTCTAAAAATGAAAGATACTTTTAAAAATCTTAGCAAAGAGGTTTTATGTCAAGAAAGTGGTCAATATTTTATAAATAAAATTAACTTTGGGAAATAAAATATAACAAATAAACATTTAATTCTTTAATTTAATTAAATTTGACAATAAATTACAACCATTTATCTATAACAAAAACACAAAAATATTAATTTACTTTACTTGTAATACTGGCTGTTTTTGTACGTTTGCCTAAAAAATAAAACGTCGATGCGCGTGCATCGCTTATAACTGCTATAACAATTGATTAAAATTTATTCGTTTAACTAAGTTAGAGTTTTATTAATTTCCTCGTAAATATGTTATAAAACGTCGTATGACATACGTGCGCTTTGAAAATTACAGCCTCTGCTTTCTTATAGCCCTCGCCGATGGCTCGGTCTAGTAATATCGCCTCGGCTGTAATTTTCAACTTACCGCACTTATATCATAATGTACTATTAGGCTCCTACAATCCTCCTTGCTTAGTTAAATTGTTTGAAAGAATTCTATCAGCAAAATATAGATGGCCGTGTTTCTGGACTTTTTCCCCACATATTTAAAACGCGAAATTTCACCCTTTTTATTACGGAATCTTTACATTTTTCTTTTGATGGCGAGAGGTACTGCAACAATATTGCAAATTTCAAAGAAGAAAATTGCCTGGATCATTTCCAATATTTTGTGTTCTTACAGATACTACATTCACATCTTCTCAAACTAGAGCTCTCTTCGTGACCACGGCTGCTGCACAGCATCCGAAACGTCGGGCCGTAGTTAAAATATTTTGTAAAAAAGTTTAACTAATAAATATCGCATTTAAATTAAACAATTTAACGGTTTAAAACGCGATATATTAGTTAAACTTATTTGAAAATGATTTTTAACTTCGGCCAGACGTTTCGGATGCTTTGCAGCAGCCGTGGTCATGGGGAGTGTCACCCCGAAGTTGAAAATCATTTTCAAATAAGTTTAACTAATATATCGCGTTTTAAAACGTTAAAGTGTTTTATTTAAATGTGTACTCGCGTAAACTATAGACAGTATTTTATGAATATCGCGTTTAAAACCGTTAAAGTGTTTTATTAAAATCCTTTAAAAACTTTTTTACCACACACAGGTCTTTAATGAAAGACATAGCTTCGCGTCTCTCTGTATAATTTGTCACTCCGTTCCCATAAAAGCTACACCTTTACAAACTTAACTGTTCCGACAATTAACAAGCAGTTATTAAAACAATGACCATTGGTTCTGTGTGATTATTCTTAATAGGGACCGTAGGAAACCTTGAACTTCCTGTGATTCAGTCAGCGATGTATTCAAGGAACGCGATTCTACGTCTAATTTGTATGTAGGCACTGCATGGCGATAATGACCGAGTCAGGTGACTACGTGATACGTAAATGTGGCTTCATAGCATGGAGAGAGTTTGCGCAACAAAAAACAGCAATAGTAGCTTGCGAAAACGGCAATAAATTTTGACATTCCGAAGGCATTGTATGACAGTCATGATCCCTTCGAGTGTCCTTTGTGTTTTTGAGTCTTTTTCCTCGTTACTAACACATATACTAGACATTAAAAAATGTTATTAATTAAAAAGTAATAATAGTTTGTGAAAGATGCATATTGTTTTAGTAGTTATCAATGTGGTAATCTTAAATTGCTTTCCTTACATATTTTTGTACTCATCGCATTAACGTATCGATAAATTTTTGATATCATTTTTATGTAAGAAAAACGCCAATACAATTGTTTCGATAGCAAAGACTGGATGTCTTCGCAATATTTTTTCATGTCTTCGTCGCGCAAATAAATAAACTAGCACATTTTTTATCTGACTACACAAATATGAGTTGATCGTTTTATTTATTACATTTGGAAGAAATTCAATAGAGGATAGTTAGTCTACAAAATATATTTAAGTCGTCCCTACAGAGCTTCATTTCACTTAATTGTTCATTATATTATTTTTCCTTTCATAAGCTTTAGTGGATTTTAGATTCTTCTACGCGCACCATAGCATGGGTACTGTAGCTTTTTATATCTAATAACGTCGTTATAACAATTAATTTTAGTCCAACTTTCAGTTTTATATTTAAAGTTCGTATGTATGTTCGTTCGTTCGTATCGTTATGCGTTTTGATGTAAAAAGAACGATCTCCACAGTGATTTAGCTTGTTTCGTGTCGTTTGAGCCGTTAAAGGGGTCATCTTATTAGTCGCTCATTCGCATGCGACCCGCGAGCTTTCAGTTCACTGAAACACCATTCTCATATAATGGCTCAATATACGATGCAATTGATAATGAACCACGGGTTACTGTGTTCGCCTCATTATTCATACAATGTAACTTATTAACGCTTAAGAATTCAGAGGCCCCTAGAGGCAGAGTAGCCTAACTGCAATCTTATGACTTGAGCTATTTAAATTGTTTTATCTACAAGAGCACAGTGACCGAAAATTGTTAACATAATTCTTAGACAAATAAAAGTACAAATTCATTTTCGCCTAAATTTATTGCGCATTTTTATTTTCCTCATTGAAAATCATATTTTTGGATATTAGGCCTCGCGACATATATCGCAGTTATTCTCATTTTACATAGGTTTAACATGTTTACGCATTAAATAAAAATGTTTCAGGCTTTGAAATGAGAATTATCTAAAGTCAATTTATTTGAAACCACGTGCAACATTTAATTTATTGAGTAATACTGTGTGTAATTAACGCGAGCAGTACAAATTTAAATGAGTCACTTGTAACGGTTTAATAAGCGAAATGTATTAATTAAACTTATTTACAAATTATTTTAACTACGACGTTTCGGATGTTTCGCAGCCGTGCTCGCGGTCAACTTGAAAACCAACGCTGCTGAGTGCGACAAGCATTTAGCACAGCTAAGATTGGTGTCGATTGACATTTCTTATTTATATATATTTGATTAACGGTAATAGTCGGTAAGTATACTGTAAATATAATAAGCCAGTATAGACACATTCAATCATGCTAGAGGCCAATTAATGTGGAAATGTCATGCAAGTGAAGCAATTAATGGCGGAAGTGAGAATCGTGTGTCGTGACACCGAATATATTGGCGGGCGCCAATGCGTGCGCGCAGCATTTTGATGCCGTGAATTATACGTCTCAAATACAATGAAACGTTTGATTGCCATTAAATCATTTCAATGAACGAGATTAAAACCCATAATGATGTCTCGAGACGTGACGAAATGTCTGTGTTTTTTTAGAGTTCCGTTATTTTTTTTATAGACTTGATAGAAGTTGTAGTATTCCGGCCTTATAACATCTAAACGTAATGCACTGTTAACCTATTTTGGCTTTAGATTTCCCATAGACAGAATATCCATTCCTATTTAATTTCCATATTTAGATTTTCAGAGGAAATCCAATGCGTGTCAGTAAATTTATAAGTTGATTACAAACATATTGGACCCGGTGGGGATCGCAGCGACAACTCGTTGATTGTTAGCCATACATTGCCATTAGAACAACCGCTCAAATTTATTATAATTATAAAAAGACTGCTGACTGTTCATATAATAAAATTAGGTAGGATATACTCGTTTCTTTTTGTTACTTAAAACTCAAAACTCTCTGATACCGGGTCTGATCCATTTGGAATTATTACTTAAACAAAATGAATATATTTATAATAATTTATTAAAAATAGGCAGTATTATTTACAGTCACAACAAAGTACCTTCTAGAACAAAGTCTCAACAAAATGATTTAATTTAATGTCAGTATAATGTGTCAAACATTAGTGTCAAAGTAGGATAACAGATAAAAAATGTCATTTAATTTTGATTTGATATATAACAGAGAAATAAAAAATATTTAATGCTTCATAATAATTCATGTGTGAGGAGAGATATTTTATTTTATTTACACTCGTACGCATACTTGGTACGTTATTGCACTAAAAGAGTCTCAGCATATTGTCTTGGCCGGTCTTCTTACTTCATCTCCTGTAACATGAAAATGTATTTATGGATTCCTTCTTCTAACTTTAAGAAAATGCATATGGAACGATCGATTCTAAATAGAAAAAATTTACGACACGGACAGGACTTGAACCGACTAACAGCGTTCGGGGCTGTTGCTCTAACCAATTGAGCTATTGAGCCCTACACGAACTTTTTTAATTCATAATCCATTTTTAATTTATATAGAGCAAAAATATTAAAGTTAAGAAACGTTAAACTTTGTTATTTATTTTCAATAAATTTCTTTAGTTGAAGTTTAATGCGAACGCATAAAATTTTATAAAAGTCGTCATAAAAGATTTTGAAAATTTTGGTGTTTCGTGCCTATATAATGGATACTTCTTTATTCCTGTATCATCTGTGGCAACAACTTCGCTCTATAAAGGTCAATACTAGTTCTCTATGGTTCGAAATCAGCCATATTTTTAATGGTCTTTTGCCAAACTAGAAAAAATACACTGAATAATAATAATTCTCCTGCGTCCAAATAAGTTTACTAACAGGTCAGGGTGGCGGCGCTAGCGGTACAAGCAATGGCTCGCGGGGTCTGCGCGGGCGACGAGAGGGCGTCCTCGGGGTGCCGGTGCGCAAGCGAGGCCGGCCGGGACCTCTTCGCCCACGACACTCTCCAGCGCCGCCTGCTCCCGCTACGGGGCACTCCACTATCTCCAGCGGCATATCTGATTCTAATAGCAATGCACCTGTTATAAATGACAAAACGATTAAAGATTAGTTAGAGAGTCAAGTTGACGGTCTCGTTGGTGTAATGGGAGAAATGTCTGGCTATTAATGAACGGGTTGTGGGTATCGCACCGGGTTTAACATAGTTCTCAATTTAAAATTTTTGTGAAACATGTTGGTTCGTCTGCAAATCTGCAATTATGTCTGGGTCACCAACCACCGTTCACATATAAAAAGTTTAATTGTGTTTGGATTTCAACCTATGGATTTCCGAATATCCAGACAGATCAACCTGTTATATGTTATATGCCTGGAGTATGCTTGCTTGTCCTATATAATGGAAACAAAAGAACGTTCTGACACATTTGAGACTGGCTGCGCGCGCTTTGTTTTGACAGATACCAAGAACAAGATAATTTATTAATTTATTTTGCTAAATATCGCTTGTTCGCCATCCCTTCTCTATAAATGAAAAGAAAACAACAAAATATGTTTTTAACTGGAAGCCGAAGCCCATAATCATTCTTCTGAAGCTAAAAAAATATGCGCGCCTTAACCCTAATTTAAAAATAACGCTGCAATACGGCTGCAAATCGGTGACGTCACGACTTATATTGGCCATTAGTCTATGTAGATCATATGACTAACATTTTAACAGTGTCTTACCGGCGGCTATTGCCGAAGCGGTGTCTGGGGTCGTGGTGGGTTCAGGACGACGCGACCCGGTGTGCCTTGAACCACGCGGGCGACCGCGCCGTGCACTACGAGACGAACGAGGTCCACCCCACGAGCTGCCTGTGCGCATACCACCTGAATACGCTGTAACAGATAAGTATTTATTTTATTTTTTGAAAGTGTGTACAAAGTTGTCACGGATCAAAGCCAACTCAGTAGCTTTAGAGTCACTGTAAGAGAGATTTCTATTTCAAATAACTAAGAACTACCTAACTAGGTAATCTTAAAGCTGAAAGTATTACCACCACATCTCAGTTGAGATAATTATAATTTAAATTCTTAGTTTTGATCCGACACTTCCGGAGAATGTAAAAAGAATGCTTGATTGAATTGCAACCTTTCATATACTTCTCACGATGGCACTGTATAAAGTAAGAATCAATCTTAAATTAAAGAAAATTACGACAGGGGCAGGACTTAAACCGGCATGCATGACGTTCCGCGCTGTTGCCAACCGAACAACCAACTGACACGGTGGCTCACTTGAGTAGAGCAAATCGTGCCCGTGCCGTAAATTTTTTTCAGTCTAAAAATCGATTTTCAATACTTATATTTTATGGACAAAAGTAAAATGGCTATATTGGCTTGGCTTATTAGTTACTTTACGATATTAGTTGTTTTGACCTTAGTCAAGGATAACTCACGTGAAGGCATCAAATGCGGTGCATCCACCACCAGGTCAGCTTCTTCGTCCACTTGCAACGGACTACCTGGTTCTGAAGCCGATTCACGGGCGCGCTTAGATTCACTTGCTGTCGGCTAGAACGTTAACAAATGTATACTGTTTGAGGATTTTTAAAAAACTCATTATATTTATCATAATGTTATAATAATAATTATGATATTATCTGAAAAAATAGAAAGAAACAAAAATATCTTTAGTTCTTAACTTCATCCGCCATTTTGTCATTCACGGCAAATTTAAATATTTGAATGTCAATGTCATCGAACACATATTTATAAGCTTAAATTTCAACAAACTTTTTGTCTTCTTAAGGTAATTTTTCATAAGCAACAATATTTTATGTGCCAAAAAACTTACCGAAGGCGTTGGTAGCAATCCAAGTTTTCTTTTGCGCTCTCGCTCCTCCATAATTTTCTTTTCTTCAGACTTTTGACGATCTATAAATAGCGACAACACATATATTATGATTATTCTTTCTTATCACCGTGAAAATATAAGGGAAGAAGAAAAACTACTTACACTTCAGCTCGATTTCTTCATCATCTAGAAGCAAAGAAACCACTTCTTTCGGCTTAAGAGTATCCGGCTTAAAGTTACCACCGCTAATCACCATGCGTTGAATCTGTAAATGCAAGTGAACATTTTTATTATTGGTGTTCATGTTGCGTGTATCAGTGTTGGGACATCAGTCCCAAAGTAGCTGAGTGGCCTGATTTTCAGAGGCAACTATATTGTCATATTTAATTTAAATTTAATTTTTATTTACCTCTAGATATTGTTTATAAGATCAAGTTTTAATTGTAAATGTTGTTTCTGAATAAACATATTCTATTCTATTTTAATTCTACCAATTGCCACAATTACAAACGTCCTGATTGTTTAGTGGTTAAACGTATGGCGTTAAGCGCGAGAGGGCATGGTGGTTCATTCACATAATTCTAAATAACTGTGCTTCAATCTTTGAAAAACAGACTCTTATGTAAAAAAGACTTTGTAAATGTGTCTTTCTTACATAAGAGAAACACGTTTCTATGCCTAATGTAAAACTTTAAATCATCAAAATTCTCATTTACATACCTCACTCTTTTCTCTGGCTCTCTGCATTATTCGCTCTTCTATAGTCCCCTTACAGATGAGTCGGTAGACTGTCACCTGCTTGGTCTGCCCGAGACGATGCGCGCGGTCCATGGCCTGCTGGTCCACTGTTGGGTTCCAGTCGGAATCGTAGAATATCACCTGGGATCATAGTATCAAATACGATTACTACAAAGATTCTTAGATTTTTATTTATTGGTGTGAAAGGTTAACTGACTTATAAGAAAGACTTCTAAATAAAAGATGACTTACAGTATCGGCTGCGGTGAGATTAATGCCTAGACCGCCAGCGCGCGTCGATAGGAGAAACACGAATATATCCGTCCGGGCCTAGAACAAAAGGTACTTAAGCTTGTCTAAAGAAGAATAATGTACAATTATCCATATTATAAAGTTTGTTTAAACGCGCTTATCTCTGAAATTATTGGTTTAAATCGACAAATATTTTTTTGTTGGATAGACTACTTATCGAGGAAGGCTTTAGGCAACCAATTAGACTAAATTTCATTGTAATAAAAACAGTTCTTGTTAGTTGATTTTAAAAGACAGACACAAACTATCACGGACGTTTTTTTAGATTATTTAAAGAGTAGGTACTAGTTCTTTTATACATATTTCTTCGATATCTTGAACCGTTTTGAGATTAATATTTCTCCGTTTTTTTTTAATATTACACTGTTTTTTCGTACCTATTAGTTGCAATGATTCAATTCCTTAATATATGCTCTCAACAACAACAATAAGATTGCAATCCGAGTAGTTCCTGAGATTAGCGCGTTCAAACAAACAAACTCAGCTTTATAATATTAGTATAACATCATAATATTAACCTTGCAAACAACAAAACGTTTGCTGAATCAAGTAATAATAAACAACATCATAATATAAATAGGATCTTGTAATTTATGTACCTGAAAATCAGCGACCATATCGCGTCTGGCTGAAATCTTACTGGAGCCATCCAACCGCATGTATTTGTGTTTTCGGTGCCACATGTACTCCTACAATCAATCAAATTTTAAAAACAAAATATTCAAATTATATTTCTAATATACGACGGGTTCGTTGATCTAATGGTAGCCATGAAGGGACATAATGGACAGTTTCATTCCTACCGGGTCCGACATGTTTCTGATCAATTTATAATTTTTCCGATATATATTCGACCTCTTTTGGAAATCTGGATAATAAATCGGTGGTAGAAATAAACAGTGACGTTGAATCCCGCTTGATTTCAGTCTGTAGATAGTCTGTCGATAGCGCATCTTGTTTCGATGTAATGACTGAGGTATTCACCTTCCTTCAAATAAACCCCACACTATCCTCCTCTATCATATACAAACACATTATTATATGTGCGTCAAAGTTAAATCCTGATTCTCCTTCAGCCAATGGGCGCTATATTTCTGGATCTGTTTTACTGATCGATTATATTTGCTGGCAAGAAATTTAACAGACTTCTGTGCTCCGCCAGGCAGGCTAAACGCAATGCTGGACAAGGCGTATAACTATTGAGCAAAGGAGACGGTATATTATGACTGTATGTTGGTGGTTAAATTCTTACCTCCAATAAATCAATCATCTTTGTCATTTGGCTGTATATAAGCACTCGGTGCCCCCGTTCTTTCAGTCTTTTTAGTAGTGAGTCCAACACTGTCAGCTTACCTGCATCGCTTACAAGTTGGTTTTTGTCTATAAAAAAATAAATTATATATTTTAATGTATTGGGAACATTTAAATAATAAAAATAAGTCTAAATAAATAATTTAATTACGCCTAAATGAAGACCTAAATTCAATGGACTAACTAAACCTTTTACACGCCATTTTTATCTCTATATGCTTCATCACAATGGTTTTTTATATAACTTATAATATAAAGAAACCTATATGTAAAACCAAGACATAGTTCTTACCTACTGAGCTACACAATAGCTCATTTGTATTATCAAATATCAAAACAATAGATGTTTAATTTATATGTGACCTTGTCTTTCTCTCAATGAAAAAGTTCCATGTCATACTTGCACATTCAGACTATTACTTTGGTAAATATTAACTCATTCATAAAAAAATAAACTGTGTAGATAAAAATCGGAAATAAATTGAAAAAAAAAAATCTACTCGGGCAGGACTTGAACCGGCATCGTCAGCGTTCCGTGCTATTGCTCTACCAATTGAGCTACCGAGTCGAACACCTCGCCGTTTCCAACTTATCGATACATGCATCTCTCGCGTCATGTAATTTCAACTTTAGCACCTGCGTATTGAGGTTCAATGTCTTGTGCTTTACAGCTTGAGAAAATAATTGAAGATACATTACTGTTATATCGTTTGAAAACTTTAATATCTTTACATGATAGCACCAAATAGATTAAAAATCGGAAATAAATTTTAAATAAATGAAAAAAAAAATCAACTAAACCTGGACAAGTAATTATTAGCGTTTGTTTTCTTATAACTAAAAATACATTACAGCAGAATTCGTTTTACCAACCTGGCACCTGCAATGAAGCCCAGCCGTATGGAGGTCGTGTGTTATCGACGAAACGCGCGATGGTCTCGCTACCGAGTTGGGTCTCGCAGTGAGCGTGTCGTTTCGTGTGGTACGCGAACGAACGAGACACGGCGAAACATTGCCGCGTAGGCGCACACACCTTAAAACAATTGAACTATTTTAAGCGGAACATGAAATAGCTTTTGAAGTAATTAATTCTTTTTGGTGTAATATATAAGTATATGTGTATCTGGCTAAAATTATGTTTCTAAAGTTATATGTTTTTTTCTGAAACATGTTAAACATTGTGGAAAATCGGAATACTAAGGTGGTGGTAAGAATACCGTAGACCAACGATTCCTGAATGTCCAAATCCAATATAGGTCTACAGTGTATTTTGTTTAGATATGTAAGGCATAGGGGAATTCACCTTTCTTCAAGTACACCATATGTTTATCGTTTTAGTACTGATTTAAAAGAGGCGATCATTGATTAGTGTTAAGTTTCAAATTATTTGTATTATGTATATAGTTTGTACAATTAGCTTTTACAAATATATTTAAATAAATTTTGTCCTATTATGGTGGCTTTAACCAGAAATTGTATATGTTTGAAAGAGTAAGTAAGTAAAATTGTTGGGCAATTTTTTTACTATACATATCTAGCTTGCACCCAGGAAATGATATATAAAACCTTAATGTTAAGTTTAAAATTAAATACTAACCTTTTGTTGGGTAGTACACAAAAATGCTGGCAGGGGTGTTGGCACATCGGGATATACGATCGAGGGTCGCTCAACATGAGGAAACTCCACGGCTTCCACTGGCTGAGTGTCAACAGATATCACTCCACCGTCTTCAGTCTTTATTTCACTTAGCATATCCGTCTGAAACATGCATTTTAAATACATATAAAAAATATTTACCCGACTTTTATGTAATAGAGATTCGGCTGGCTACCATGTCACTACTTTCAATATATAAGTGAAACTCGCCTTGTATGGGGCGGACAAATATTTGCTAGTAGATAAGACTTCTGTGTTTTGTCGGACTAAAACTAAAATTAATTGTCACTAATTACGATGACATGTAAAAAAGGTTAACAAAAAAGTAACACAGATATTAAATTTGATTATTATAAAAAAGAATTGAAAATAGTAAAAGTTATATGATTTTTGTAAGCAATAGATCTTGACAGATCTATATTTTGAAAATATATGCAATCTTAATAATGTTCCTAACCTGTCCGCTATACTCCTTAATATTTCTCGAGCGCAACGCCCTATGCTCTATAGTCTCTGCCATATAATGTATTGTGTGATTGACGTGTGTGTAGAATGGTCCACCTAAAGTATATATTATGTAATTTGACAACACTAATTACTTCAAATATCTCAATAGGAAAAATGGAAGTCCAAAACCCACATACCAGTTATCCAAAAAGGATCTGTAAACAGCATGTCTTTCCACAAGAGCGAGTCATCTTTCCTTCGTTTCAATATATCGCCATCAGGACAAACCAGAAGAAAATGCTTGCTTTGGACTGCCTTGTAATCGTCAGCTTTGTCGGAGTACCACCAGTCTTGTCTATGTCTCAACTTTTCGTATGTGTCTAAGCATTGTTCTATGTGTAGTATGCTAAAAAAAATCAATATACTTATTAATTTATAAAAGTTATTAAATATAACATAACAATATATCCATTTTTTTTTCTAAGACAGACAATGCATTACAGAATGTGAAAGAGCCTATTGAATTAAGATGCTTTTGACAGACGTTAGTATAATGCAAATAATAAATAATAAATAGGTGGTAGGCATGTATATGGAATTTGTGTCCGGGTCACGAAAAACCGTCCACAGGTGAAGTTTAATTGGCGGTTTTAGTCTATGGATTTCCGAATATCCAAAGCCAAAATAGATCGACAGTATTTTGTTCAGATGTTATATCGCTGGGTATTACCCCTTCCATCAAGCCCAATACTTATCTGACATAAAAAGAGTTTTAATGACATCTTTTGTATCTGTGTGTGTGTGACTTAACAAATAGATATATGACAACTCACGCATATAGCCACCCGCACAGCATAACCCGGTATAACTCCATCGGAGACAGGTCCATGAATCGTGTGAAAGAGAACAACGTATCGCTATTTCCCTCGCTCACACTCAATTGCACATATTCACACACTAATACACTCAATATATTGCACAATAGGTGTCGCTTAGATGGTATACTTCGAAGGAGTATGCAGTCTTCTGCTACAAATTTTGGTATGTTGTAATCGTCAACGTGCATAGCGAACGGTGATCTGACGTCACGGCGTTCAAAGAGCTCCGGGTGGTTACAAACCTAAAAGAAAAAGCTAAATTCAATAATTAAGCCAAATGGACAATCTCGTTGTAAAAGGTTGGAATACTAAGGAGAATTTTTTTGAAGTTAATATGAATTATTTAGATAAAACATTTAACGGTGTAAAACGTAAAATATACTCGTTAAAGTATTGTTATTTCTAATTGAACTCAAAATTATTTTCATGAATAAATTATAATTAAACTAAGTACAACGTTATAATTAACATAAATAAGTTATTGAAAGGAATAACACATAATTAAAATAAATGACAAATAATTAGACAATACATTACGCGTTTAAAACCGTTAAGCGTTTTAATTAAATGTGTACTACGATAATATATTGGCTAATTATTGAATAAATACGATTACATACTAGTCACTCTATTTTTGTTGCAGACAAGTAAAAAAACATTTTAAAGATCGAAAAAAATTTGAAACTCGGACAGGACTGGAGCCGCGTTCCATGCTGTTTGCTCGAAACGCTGACGATGCCGGTTCAAGTCCTGCCCGAGTCGATATTTTTCAATTTACTTTCAATCTTCAAATTGTATAGTGCCATCATGTGGAAAAAATTAAAGTCATCACTACTTGAATTTGGGATAGAGCCGGCTTGGGATTGAGTGAGTTGGCGGTAAGAATTCACTCAAGTAAAAATCATTTTTCAATTAAATGAAAACTATGAAGCACTTACCTTTCTAAACTGCATCACTAAGTTCATAAGGTTTGAGGTGAAATTTTTATCAACATTATGTCCAGATTCTGATCCGATTGTGTAGTGGAGTAACTCCTCAATTTTAATTTTCTTTTTCAATGCTGTAATTAGAAACAAATAATTTAATATAACAGCTATCACAGAGTGTGACAACACCAACCAAATAACAACAAGAGAGTTACTGCAGACCTATTGTGGCTTCGGCGTATAGAAATCCATAGACTGCATCCGAAACGCTGATTCACTTCACAGCTTTTTATTTCGGGAGGATGATTCGTAATTTAGAGACAATTTCGATATTCCTAACAGCTAATCCGAAGAATTCTTCGAGCAATCGAGGAACTAACAACACCTCCTGATGATGCCGTTCGCTCGTGTTAACGAAACGTCAAGAACCTCTACTCGCTTACGTCGGCCGAACCGCCCGAACAACGATGGGCCTTACATAATTAGCTAATCCAATATTTTTCATTAATTATGAGCCATACATTGCTACCATTAGAGCAACAAGCTCTGTGTGTGTTTTGTTTGTTTTTACTATTAGTTTTTCACTTACCTATGTACAATAACTTTTGTCTAATCGTAAGCGGGCAGTGAACCATGATCTCAATTTTGTCTGACAATTCGTTTTCTACATCTTTTTTGATCCTTCGTAACATAAACGGCTTCAATATCATGTGCAGTCTTGATAAATGTTCTAAAATACAGAAGTTTGTAATAAGCATAATAAAATAATGACTATTTACTAACATGTAGTAACAGAATATTTTACTTTCATCAATGGTGCTCTTATTCTCAGCATGACTCTCTATATCCTTAGAAAACCACTCGTTAAACTCCTCGTGTGAATCAAACAATGTCGGCATAATAAAATGTAGCAACGCCCATAACTCCGCCATACTGTTCTGTATTGGTGTTCCTGCAGAGAATACCTTAAATTATACAGTAGCTGAATTGGTTGGATCAGCAGTACCGCTGTGAATGCCATGTCAAGTCCCGTACGTGGCGCATTTTTTTTTTAATTTTAATATTTAAATAAATTCAGGTAACAAAGTATGAAAGTAATTTATATTAATAATGTAAAGAGTTAAGCTAATTCAATCAGCATATTTATTTAGGGTAGGCACTACATGCATAAAACATAGTTTAGTACAGACTAAATATAATGTCCAATATTAATAAATTACAGTCTAAAACAGATTGAAAATAGGTAGTTAAATTTCTTTCTTTTTTTAAGTCATTTTGAGTATTTAACGAAACCGGTTATATATTATACCTTAACTTTATCAATAAAACACTTTAACGATTTAAAACGCGATATATTAGTTAAACTTATTTGGAAATGATTTTTAACTTCGGCCCGACGTTTCGGATGCTTTGCAGCAGCCGTGGTCACGGGGAGACTGACATAGACACTATATAGACAGTATTTAATAAAACACTAGTTAATATTCTCTAAAGTTTACGCGAGTAAGTTATTTTTAACAATACTTAAGATGCTTTAGCCATTTTCGTCTCAACCTAACGCGTATGTCGAATGTGTTAATATATATTTAAAGGTTATAATCGGATTTTAACCTCAAACTCACCAGATAAGAGCAATCTATTTCTGCAGCTAAATCCTAAAAGCAACTTCCACCTCATACTAGCAGAACTTTTAATCGCCTGAGCTTCATCCAGGATCATATACTGCCAGGAGACACGGTTTAAGTATTTCAAGTCAGACACCACTATTTGGTAAGACGTGATGACCACGTGGAAGGCAGCCTGCTGAGTGTGAAGGTCTTTTCGCTCCCAGAACTGGCGAAGGATTTTCCGTTCGCTGGGGCTACCCCAGTACGGCACCTAAATTGAGTAGGGAGAATTGTTGTTAGTGTTACCAGAGTGAGGAAAAATTATTTGGTAGTATTTTACTCTCTAATGTAATATTTATTTAAACAGATATAGATCCGCTTGAGGACTAAAATTAATAAAGAAAAAATTGATTACAATATATTTCAGTTACGTTAATATCGATAATATTTTTTAATAGTAAATACATAGTTTGTAAGATCTGAAATGAGCATTGCATACATAAACAAATACATATATGTATATACACAGAGGCCGTATACCTTAGTAGGGTAGTTTTGTATGTTATCTGTCATTTATTATTAACTAACGTTAATTTTGTTTGTTTGAAAGTTAAAAAACACCCACCACTTTAAAGTCGGGGACAAATCTCTGCATCTCCTGCTGCCAGTTATGAAGAGTTGACGCCGGGGACACCACCAGAAACGGTCCCCAGACACCGAGACGTTCGGCGACGTGACATAAGAAGGCTATGCATTGTACAGTCTTGCCTAGACCCATCTCATCCGCTAGTATTCCACTAATGCCCTGAAATTAAAATTTTAAAGTTACAAAAAAATAGTTTAGTATAGAAACTTGGTGATAAAAGAAGTGGCGGCGAGTTTCTTACTCTTCTAGTTCGTTCAACGTTCGAAATAATAGTAAATTTAAAGTGACTCTTTAGTTTTGTGACGTTCATAAGTGTACCTAGTTATAGGTCGCGGCGCGAGCGCTAAAGATCTGTGCCGCTACTTATACCTACGTGAATAAATGATGTTTGACTATGACTACCTGATCATATAAATTGGCCAGCCAGTTCATGCCCTTCAATTGGTATCCCTTAAGGGTGCCCTGGAATATGGAGGGCTGATCGTGATCGCCGGAGCAGTCGGGGAGCGACGCCTCACCACCAGACGCGGCGTCCATGGCAGCAGTACGGGCACGGTCAGCGCGGAACGCCTCACGAGCATTTCGAGATGCGCGCGCTTTCATTGCCTCACTATTCGTAAAAGCAATTGAATTAAGATTCTAAATAAAATATGTTGTATGTAAACGGTTCTTTTGCAGACAACCCCCAAGCCCCAAGGGGAAAACACTAGCTTATTAGAAATAATGTAGGGTCGCTGAATTGCAACTCATCTCTATAGTTTGATAAATTGACATTTTAATACCCTACAACTTGTTGATATGTATCTCTAACCTATCATAGTTATCAATAGCAGCCAGCCTAGGATCTCTGTCTTCGTCGAGTTGCCTTAAAATCTGATCTGCTCCACTGTCGCCTTCATCAGCAGCATTGCGCTTACGTTGCATGAAATGTGCGTAAAGCTCAGTTTGCGTTATGAGGAAATTCAGTTTGCGACGTTGCCGTTTAGCTTCCATCAGTTCCACGTCCATCTACAAAGAAAAGTTTACTATTAGATGTTAAGAAATCTATATATAAACATGTTAGACTCTATTTTAAAATCCGGATATTAAATGGATAGTAGAACACTAAGAGATTGTTAATTGTTAGCCTTAAAGTAAGTCTCATTTCAAACATCGAAAAATCCTTTCTCTGATTACCTTTCTCTGTTCTTCAGCCTCTTTCTCCATTCGTCTCCTCGTCTCCCTTTCAGCTCGATCATATCTCCTCCAATAGGCTTGCATCTCACGACTTAGCCGTTTACATCTCCATACTGTTTCTTTCATATTCTTTTGAGACTGTAAAAAAGGTTTTACACTTTTTAATGTGAGGATTTCTGGTGACTGTTAAACTGAAAATATTGTAAAACTTTGAATAGAAAACGCGTTTAACCCTGTGGGGCATGGTCAGTTTCATTTTATTTTCAGGCATGTTATTGATTAGACATCTGTGTGCTCCCTGACGGACACAATTAAACTTGGCGGAATTTGAACCGTGTTTAACGCTATGCTAGGCAATATGTAATAAGCTATGTGGACAGTCGAGGAATTTATTGCATATTGATTTTTAATGTCTGTGAAATTTACAATTTTGAGACCTAATATCTGGATGTTACCTGCATAGCGACATGTCTCCAATGTTTACTGCACAGTGTTGCCAGCCTCTTTCTCTGCAAGATTGTCTCTCTGTGTGTTGCCGTCCTGGCTCTCTGCACCTTCCCCAATTCCTTTTTAACGAGCAGGAACCAGTGACGCTTTCGTCTCGCTGTCAATGCCTCTGGAGTTTTTGCCATGAGTGCTTTTTTACGGCCCCTGTAAAGAGTCAAAAGTGTTCAAATAATACTATGTAAATTAATGCTTTCAATGTAAATATTTTGCAGCTGGTAATCATTTTGTGAAGTAATTAATTAGACAAATCTAAGACTAATTATACTTTTATTATTAGATTTGTCTGTCACTCACCTAACACCAGATTTCTCTGCAATTGTGTACTCATCATTGTCATTTTCTTCTTTTATGTGTTTCAATTGATCTTCCCAGTCTACACCATCAGGCTGTTGAATAAATGAATTTAATAAAACATTACCTCAATTGGGGTAACCTCATCTGGGCAAATATTATAGACAATATTGTTGTACATTTATACCGTTTTGTTATATCTAAGTATATGTTTTTATAATTTTAAATATGATATTTGATTTCTGCTGAAAATTAAGTTCCTGGTTATAGATACAATACATTGGCTCTTAAGGAATACGGAAAAAATATAACATTTGCCCGTACTAAATAAAAATCAATACAATTTATTTTCTCTTATTCTATGCAAATACTCCTGTTAAATTATGTAACATAAAATTGTAAATTCATATACAACTCAACTAACAGTATCATTTCCTTCAGCTCCCTGCTCCTCCTTGACTTTGGTTCTCCTTGGCTTTTGGACAGCTTTAGGCACATTTTTATCGGTAATCCTACGTCTACCTCGTGCAGGTGCTGGTGGAGGCCTGCTAATATGTCTCTCTGGATAGCGATCGACAGTTGAGAGCAAACCAGCACCATAGTACATATACCGAGAGTTCTGAAATAAATTAATATCATATACAATAGTTATGTATTATGAATATTTAACTGCTATATGTCTTGAAATCTCAAGATATTCAGATGTTGGCTTTTTAATTCTTTTATAAAATGTCATAAGATGCTAATTGGAAATAGTTACGCTACTGAATGTACATCAGTTTTATTTAAATTACAGAATTTCCTTTTTTGAACTATATATAATAGTCAATATTATTAATGAATTAAAGTGTTCCCATACTAGGAAATGTTTAACCATTAAGATCTAATTCTCATGAAATTCCAACAATCCATAAAGAAATACTCACAGCTGGATCCTTGTAATATGACTTAACATATTTATTGTGAAACTTTCTTTCTTTCAAGAGCCTTTTAATTCTGTTTTCTTTTGCTGCAGGGGTTTCATCATCACTTGCAGACTCTGACTCAGATGATAAAAGGACCTCACGTAACCACTCTCTCTCTTCTCCAACAGAACAGAAATTATAAAGACGGGTGCGATCACAGAGTCTTTCTGAAATTGAGGAAGTCATAGGATAGGATTATACCTAAATGTTCTCTGCAATATTACCTTACCAACAATTATTGTATGTTAAATTGAAGCACTTGATGAAAGTCTAAATCTCATATGATAAAGGGTTTATAATTTGATAATTACTACTAGTCTAAAAGTTATTAAGCTACATCCAAGACCTAACCTTCACCAAAATATCATTTCAAGGTTGATTACAGTAACCATGAGAAAAATCACTTTTATGTGATGACATTAACATTAAACATTGCATGCTATTAGTTTCTTTTTTTTATAAGCCTATTTTTGAGTTAACAATGTTTACAGTGGTTTGTAAGACTGTATTTTGCAACCAATCGTACCTTGCTTGGTAGTTACTACACCATCAATTACTTTATCCCCCTTAGACACTTCATTGCCTATGGATAGTATCTCTGAATCATCACTATCACTGTCTCCATCAGAATTTAATATCTTCTCAACTTGGTTGACGAAGGGTCGGATATCTAGGGCGGCTTCCAAGAACTGAAGATGTACAGGCCGGGCGACTTCATGTCTTTTTAGCACACTTTTTCCGAGACTTGATTTCTCAGTCATTTCAAGAGTCAGGTCAAAGAAGATCCGAGGTATATATAGAAAATCCTTGACAAATCCCCTTATTTATAAATATTAAGGACCAAGAACTGTTAGCAGATCGCACGTCATGTATCATTTAAGTTTGGAAATAACGCACTCGGCGGTACAAGATGTATATTGCAGGAAATCTTCGTCCTACACCTATTTGTTATTCCAAAGGTTAATATCACGCTGATTACTTAACACAAAACTCCACGAGATTTACAAAATGGCGAATGAGGATATTCGACAAATCGCTGTCAATGTCGCCGCCCAAGCGGCGCACATAGATATTCATTTCGTATTCGAGCTTGAAAAAACAAGAGACCGCCATAATAACGAAGTACTAAAATTGTAAATGACAGTTGACATGGTTCCTTGTTATACCTATAGGTCAAATTCTGTTTCTTATTGGTAGAAATGTATATTGACGCTACAACAACCAATACTGTAGAAGTATTTTAAGCACCCAATAATAAACCCGGTTTCAATTCCATATTACGGAAGGTACTGAAGAAATGCTTAGGCACAAAAATTATAATGACGGATTAATATATATTATTGTATACCTAATATTTTTGTGATAAAATCAGTTATTGTTGTAGAAAGTTGTTCATAACTTATGTTGGCTAGTTACTTACCAAAGAGTATAAAAAATCAGAAAATGAAAGTCTAAGGACTAAGAAGCACGACGATGGGCAGACTAAAAATTACTTATTTTTTTATATTTTTTAAATTCTTTCTTATAAATAGTAATAAAAACTATTAATATTAATTGTTCTATTATATATGTTATATTATATATTCTATTCTTGTTATGATATAACTTTTCTGAATAGTGATGGGAAAAGCAATTTATTAAACATTGCTGTGACTTATTTCCTTTAGATTCTGCTGTATATACCTTCCATTAAAAGTCTGAGATCCAAGTTATTAAAAAAAGCAACGAATTGTTGTGTATTATGTTAGATTATAATGTGAATTAGTGATTGTTAGATAGATGTCACTTTGCATTTATCGATAATAAATGCAAAGTGACATCTCTAGTTATTACGCCAAGCCGCTAGCGTCAGTTTGGGCATCATTGAAAAATCAACTTCAACATTCAAGAAATTAACTACCATATACTAAAAATTGTATGAAATATAAAATATTAATAGAACTACCTCGCTTACATTAACTTATTCAGTGAAATTCATACTCGTAATTATAACAATGAAGTAGAAATGAAAAAAATATATATTTGAAAAGGAATTATTTAAAATGATAAGTTGACAGCTCCTTTCATATCCACGATAAAGCTTGCACAAGTTGATTCCAAAATGGTGGACGTTTGTTGTGCTTGTAATTTGTGAAATAAATTGTGTATTTGTAAGTAGATTTTCGTAGTGTTTATTACCATATGTCTTCTGTAGTAAATTTGACAAATTGTTGAAATTATAATATTTCAAAATACTGCATATTTATTACTAGAAATATTTAAATTTAAATCAATGACAGCACCGCAATGAAATAAATTTTCTTGTTTGTATATTAGTATTTAAACGAGTATAGCTTTCAAGTTATGTCATAAAGTATTATTGGTTGTTGCCTTGATATTCTAATAAGTCTTGTTGTAATTTGTCAACCGATTTTGGTTTTATAGTAGCATCAATAAGCGCGGGATTTATGTTTTAAAACTAATACAATATGTCTTACACATTTGTTCTCTATCGAAGTTCTTTTCGTGGGCTGAATTCAATAGTTTCAGTCGTAGCTGGTCGGTTCGCCTCTACATTTCCTCTAGCAAAATTGTTTAAATTTTAACATAACCTACAAAACCGGCGGGTGCGCCAAAGCAAGCCTAAACATTTAACGTATATAATCGTTGTTTATATTTTTTAGATGTATTTAAACTGCTGTTGGTGTGTTAGACCTATCTTGTAAAATCCTTAAAATGGATGATAATGAGGATGTTTCTAATGAAACTTCCACTAAGTTGGAAGATGATGGTCCAGCGATGGTGGGAGATGATGATCTAGCCAAGGTGGAAGAAGATTTAACGTCCAAAACGGAAGAAGATTTAACTATAAAAACGGAAGAAGAAATCAAAGTTATTGATGAACCAAAAGTCTCTGAAAGTGAAAGCAAGGAAGATGTTAAGACAACGGAAACATTGGAAGCGTCTAATATAGAGCAATCAGCAGATCCTGAAAGTATAGGTGATGGAGATAAGATAATTAAAGAAACAGACTCTGATGAACCAATTGAGAGTAAACCAGAAGAATTAGAGGAAATCAAAGCTGAGGAATCTTTACTTTTAGAAGAATCAAAAGAAATTGAATGTGAGAATGAAAAACAGGCGGAGTCAAATGAATCAGTTATTGAAAAGTTAAAGGAATCAGATGATGAAATAAGTGATAAAAAAACCGATAGTGATGATGTTAATTGTGATAATCCTACTCATAGTGATGATTTAATTCATAGTGATACCCCTATTGATGAACCAAACAGTGAAAATGCAGCAACTGCTACCTATATTATTGAATCTAAAGATAGTGAGAATGCTGAAACTGCTTCCAGTATTAGTGATATTGTTCAATGTGATTCACCAAAACATGTCAAAGAAACACCACAAGAAGGGATAAAAGAAAACACTGAAATTGTTGAAAGTGAAAAGAATGATGATGCACCAGGTCTGTTTCCTGATATTTTAAAAACAAGTTTTGTGTTGAACGCTAGATACATTTATTTTTGTGTTACACTGATTAATTTTATTAACAGATAAGAAAGTAAGCAAATATTCTTTCAATTTATTCAGGGTTCTCTTATGTTTCTAAATTTTTAAGGTTTAATTGGTAAAGACTATGTTGTATAGAAGTCTGAGGCCCATTAACAAACCTAAAGAATTAGGTACCATAGTTATGTATTATTGAAATATAATTCTTTGCAATGCAACAAACTTTATACTTTCACCTGAATTATGTGTGTTTTATTTTGATTTAGATTTTTTTTTAGAAACATCAAAAGAGTTGCCCTCAGAACCAGGACCAAGCACACAAGGATCTGGTAACCAAGATATAGAAATAGAAATTCATCTCGAATCCAGTCAAGAAGATCCTGAAATAAGAAATGATGGAGATAAAGAAGTTCAGAAGCCAGAGTTTGAAACTGCCCCTAATGTATCTATGGAGGATACGCATGAGGATCACACACAGGTCTGCCTTTGTGAAATGTAAAAAGTTGGGAGTTCCTAAGTAATCATACAAGCAATTTGTTTCAACATGTTGACAGTAATTGCTCTGACTTTAAATACTCAAAGTTTGAATGATAATAGATGCAACAAAAACTAGAACCTTTATCATTACTTCTTTTATGTATAATATTGTGGTTGAATTCCACCAGGCATTGGATCCATTTGATACCCTTCTGAGGGATTTGCCAGATCCTCCTGCAGAAACAAGCACTCAAACAGCAGATGTTGACACAATGAACATTGATGATGACGATGACGATGATCATAATGTGGAAAATCATGTTGATCAGGTAGATGGGGAAGATGACCATCAAGGTATGTTTTTTTATTTGGAACTTTAGAAACCTTTCTAGTAAAATTACCTATGGTATATACAGTGTAAGCATTTTTTTCACGGGAACTACAAAATGACTTTTATTATTCATCATAGAACTTCCAGTTTCCTTGACTAATATAACTTTAACTTAACATGTTTACAGATGAAGGCAGCTTAGCTGAGCCGGGAGCAGATGAAGAAGTATGCTTGCTACCAGACACTGAAAGAGAAATCTCTGAAGCTGATAAACAGGAAGCAGAAAAAGTCTTAGCTGAAAAGCGGAGGCAGGCGGAAGGTCCATGTTGTCAAAATTATTTGGTCATTTTCAATACTAGGGAAATTTAGTGAATTGTTCCAGCTGGGCAAAATTCAAATAACCTACCTACTCTATACAGCTTAGCTAAGCAATAAGTAAAACTAAAATTAAATTTAAATTAAGGCTGATTATAATGGCAGAGATATTCGAGAAAGTTTTATAAAGTACACATTTTTTACAGAAGCTATGTCCAGTCAAGTTCCTGAAGCTAATGTCGTAGCAGACATTGAGCCAGAGTCAAGTGCAGAAATGCAAAATACAAATGCAACCTCTACTGATGAAGTGGTAGTTGTTGATGGAAATGAAAATGGTGGTGAAGGTATGTACTACACACTATATCAGGTTACTTGTTTTTATAATATCTTTTAATGAATAGATAAATCAAGTTCTAACGACAATTACATATAATTAACTGTCTCTATTACAGAAAGGGAAAATAAAGATCCAGACGAAATAGACACAAACGACGAAACATCGCTGACGGTTAAAGAAGTTCCTGATATTTTTACTCAATGCCAGAGCTGTAGTACACAACAGCCATGCAAATATCTTTTTATACTGGACGATAAAGAACAATACTACTGCTCGGAAGTTTGTATAAAAGCGTTACAAACGCATTTTAATGAAAAGTCGATAGTCATACTGAAAGACAAGTATATAATTGATGAAATCGTCCCTATCGAACATGTTTGCTCGGAATGTGAAGAAACGAAAATTTGCTATTTTTATTACAAGTATGATGGTGAAGATACTTACTATTGTTCACTTAAGTGCCTGAAAAGCATGATGGCGGACGAATCTGAAAAATACACATTTAAACGTCTCAAGATCTTTGTTGAACAAATAAAACAGCCTAGACAGGATATAGAGTGTGTAGTATGTAATGAGGTAAAAGCGTGTCTATTTACGGCGAAACGGTATGGTAGCGATATATATTTATGCGACGCACCGTGCCTTAAAATTCTCAATGAGCAAGAGAGCGGACGATATTCATTATGTATTAACAAAAAATTACCTACACCATTGAAACCCCAACCACTGCTTAAATTGAAAGTTATAAGTAATGCGACAGATAAATATTTGGATGAAGCATACAAGATACAGGCGAAAACACCCGACTTGGTACAAGCAGCGCGAGAAGAGAGGGAGCAAACATTCATTCGATTATGTGCTCACTGTTACCAATTAGCTTCTAGTGATGATAAAATGTTGACATGGGAAACCATGGACTTTTGTAATAAAGTGTGCTTAGGAAGGTATCAACATAAAAACGGTTCTAAATGTGCATATTGCAAGAGTGTAGTTGCTTTGACTAGCTTAGGGAAATACTGTGTTCGCTTTGGTTATGACATACGCCAGTTTTGCAATTCTCGATGTCTGGAAGAGTTTAAGAAGGGTTTGAAGATCTGTTGTTACTGCCAAAGAGATATATCAGTTGGGCATGAAGGCTTCTTGGCACCGGTGGGTGACAAAGGCCAGTTTAAAGACTTCTGTACGCAGGTCTGTATGGAGAAATTTGACCAGATGAGCAAGAATACTAAGCCTCAACCCGTTTGGGCAAAATGTGCAGTGTGCTCGTTAGAAAAGGGGACTACAATTGAAGTGGAAGTTATGAATATTTGCCAAAGGTTGTGCTCAGATCCATGCTTTGCGGCGTTCAAGTTCGTAAACAATATAGTCCCAGGTAATTATATGCTGCTAACACCATTCAAAACAATCAAAACAATTCTCCACTGCTCAATGTAATAATAATTTAATACCTACTGAAACTATTTCAACTAAATGAAAACTATAACACTAATCTTATATTTAATTTTTTTTAACATTCGCAGATCAATGCCGCTGGTGTAAAAAATACTTTGAACGTACATTAAGAAACTGTTTCACAATATATGAAGGCACCAAACCCATTCCCTTCTGTACAAAGTCATGTATGAACATATTTATCAGCAACTCTAGGCATATAGTACCTTGCAATTGGTGTAAAGTAAAGAAATACAACTATGATATGATACAGTGGTCGCACGACAATCAAATGGTTATGATGTGTTCGTTGAGTTGTTTGAATCTATATGAAGTGTCAGTTAATGCTGTGTCGTCGAGGAGGTGAGAATACATTATTGACCACACATTTTATTTTATTAAAACGAAATTTGTCTGCTTTAAATAATTACAGTGTTACGCCTGAGACTCATTACAATAAATTTACCTGTTCTAAGACTATTACCAAAAATAAAAATTTATTTAAAACCTACAGAGATGAAAAATTTCTCCCAATTCGTTCACATTTCCCGCTGTATCTTCGCTTCTATTAGCCACAGCGTGATATATTATAGCCTACAGCCTTCCTCGATAAATGCTCTAACTAACACAAAAAGAATTTTTCGATTCAAACCTGAGATATAGCTTAATATATTAGTATAGATACTGTCTGTAGTTTACGCGTATAATAGTACACATTTATATAAAACACTATAACGATTTAAAACGCGAAATATATTTGTTAAACTCTTTTTAAAAATATTTCAACTACGGCCTGACGTTTTGGATGCTATGCAACATTGGTCACAGGGAGATTACCCGTGACTGATTAAATAAGTAAAAATAAGTCAAGATTCACTAATTTAATCAAGTAAGATCAAATAAGTGAATAAATAAGTTTCACATATATATTTCGCGTTTTAAACCTTTAAAGTGTTTTATTGAAACATTTTATATTTCAGGAAAAAGTGCGATATGTGCAAACAATCGGCGCTCGCGCAGTATCACTTGACCATGTCTGATGCGACAGTGAGGAATTTCTGTTCCTACCAATGTGTCATAACCTTTCAGGTTAGCAAACTAGTACACATGTTTTAGAGAACATAATAAGTCTGCATTCTAGCTTTTACTAAACCCTTCTTACGTCAAGTGTTTTTCATAGTTTTCTTAAATATTTCATCTTTAATAGACAAAGAAATAAAATTTATACATTTTATTATGTAATTTTGGCTTTACTAATCGTTATATGAAATTGGCTTTCTTTGATTGGTTACAGAAGCCAGGCATGGTTTGTAGTTCACTTTATGTTTATAGTAAAAGTTCTCTTTTATTATAGGGACAGTACTCTAAGGAGGGATTACCAATGGTCGGTGAACCGACAGATACGACAAAAGCAGTTCCTACTGGGGCACCACGTCGGACGTATTCGCATAAGGGTAAGTTAGAATTAGAAAGTAAGAGATCTTTTTGTTTCTAAACATGACTCATAATACAATATGTAAAATAATTAAGAATTTGCCATATCAATAAAATGTGTTCAGAAACTAGTGACTTTTCTATCTATTACTGAAAACACTTGTGTTAATGTGATATTAGTATGATGTTTTTTATTAATAATTTTATGGAACTTTGTGTATAGTACATACACAAAGTTCCATAGCTCATTGGTTAAGATTAAGAGTATGTTGTCCATGGACAATCCCAAAGAAAAAATGTTTCGGTCGGGCAAGACAAATCTGTAAATTAAATAGATCAACCATACGGACAGAATTGTGTTTGCCCCACAGGGAAAACTTAATTTAACTCTTTAAACTTTTACAGGGAAAGGGAAAGCCCTAAACCGCGCCTCGACGGGCATGCCCGTTATATCAAACGTACAATCTCTAGCTACGCCCCCGCCCGTTACGACTCCCACGCGGACTAAATCCAAACGTCTCCAACAAATTCAAGGATCGCCAGAACCGGAGCCCCCCGCGGCACCAGCGACGCCCCCTCCCCCACCAAAACCGCCTACTCCACCCCCGCCTCCGCCACCGAAAATATACAACCACGTGATAGTAAAAACCCTACCACCCCATGAAGTAGCCAATAAAGCAACAATGTCCAAGCCTATGATGGTCTCCAAGGGCGTGTCGTGTCGCCCGCACCCTTGTACAAAGGAGTGTCAAACTGACCCCAGCTTAGAGCGGCGAGTCCTAATTCCCGTCCCTGTACCAATATACGTCCCCGTACCTTGCGCGATGTGGTCGCTACCGTTCCCTGTGCCAGTCCCGATTCCCTTGCCAATCCCTACTCCAGTATTCATTCCCACCACTAGAAATTCGGCTAAGGGCATTATGAAAGAGATCAATAAAATACACGATAAGATGCCAACGGATCCGTTTGAAGCAGAACTTCTGATGATGGCGGAAATGGTAGCCGGTGATAAGAAGAAGGACCAGAGTGACTCTGATACGGACGAGGAGAATGGTACGTCAGGTTTACAGTATACAGGTTTTTATTACATTTTCATATAAATTCTGAAGAGTAAAATAAAAAAGTATATTTTTTTGCTAGCTTTATTGAAACCTTTAAAAAACTTTGGTAAATTAAAAAGCTACTCACAATGAGATCAGATTTTCATAAAAAATCCTATTAAAAATAAAATAATATATCAATATTAGATAGTGCTTTATAATTAAATTAACACCTATAAACTAAAATAATGTCACCAATCTATAGAATGACTTTATTTCAGAAGGTTTTAGCCCCGTAGCGGGAATGGATGGTAACAATGCGTTCGGTGAAGACATGTTACAAATGGCACTCAAAATGGCCACGGAGTACGAAGAGCAGCCGGTGGACTTAGAGTCTGCTATGACAGCTAATACGATAACGCCAAGCTCACATCCAGGTATGCCAGGTAATGTGTGAAATATTTGCTAAATACTATATTTAAAAAAAACGATTAACGGCTTATAATGCGAAATCTATCGGTAAAATGACTAAAAATTATTTTAACTACGTTTCGTTGTAACAATGTTAATTATTTTAAAGTGACCTCCCGGTTCCCCTCTAGGGCCATAAGGCGAACCCATTTGTGTTCGTTGTGCACGTTTCACTGTACGGTTTTATTTGCAGTTATGTAGTTGATTAGGCTTCTGTGCCCTGCCCGAACGAAACAAGCTATTGTTTTTCCGGGGACTTGAACCCAAAACCTCTCGCGCATAACGCAATGCTAGTCAACACGTTTAACCATTTAGTTACAGAAGTGGTCATGCAGAATGCTAATTATTGAATGTCTGATTTTAAGAGCCTAATTCAATTAATTTACTAAAATTCAAATCAATACTTAATAGAAGTTCGTAATAGTATAGTGCATACTGTACACGAAAGTCTCATCGTGACCACGGCTGCTGCAAAGCATCCAAAACGTCGGGCCGAAGTTAAAAATCATTTTCAAATAAGTTACTAATATATCGCGTTTTAAATTAAAAAATTCGTCAAATTCGTTTAAGGTCTGGAAGGTGAAGGGATACACCACCACCATATGATGGTGTTGGAACAGCAACGAGCTGTAGCAGCGCTGCGCGCGTCCCAGCCGGCAAGGAAGCGTGCTCCGCCGGCTGCTGCGCCTGCGCCGACACCTCGGGCTTCGCGGTCTTCAAAACGAAGGCGGGAGCCAGCACCCCCTCCACCAGAACCGCCGAGAGAACCCGCTGAGAAACCAGACGCCAACATGTGCCTTAAGGTATGTATGCTATGACATATAATAATTATTATAAAAAAACAACTAATTTAAACATTTGTCACGGGTCAAAGAACACTCCTGATTGGTTGGGTTTATGACGACGTCACTTGCTTTTAAACAGTGCTATGAACCACCATACTTTGTAGTGTTAAAACTTTTATATTCTCTGAAAATAAATTTGTAATTAATTTCATTACTTAGATCACTGTTAAAATGGGAATATTTGCTACAAATGTAGATTGTAGATGACATAGACCAATGGCCAATAAAAGGTCGTCACGTCACTATCGGTAATGCAGCGTTATTTCGCGAAATTAGTGTTTAGGCGCACAATTTAAATATTGGATTTTTATTTCAGAAAATATATATCAGAATTCAAAAGTACTACTTTTCTGAGGTTCCTCAACTAAATAATATAAAGCACATTATAAAAAGCAGTCAAATAGCCTATTTTTCATTGTCTGATGAATAAATCAAGCTTTTGTTTATCTTCAGTACACGTTTGGCGTGAACGCATGGAAACAATGGGTGATGACTAAGAATGCGGAAATCGAGAAGAGCTCCATCAGACGAAAACCCTTCAAATCCGAGATACTGCAGCTGACATCCGACGAGTTGAATTACTCGCTTTGTTTGTTCGTTAAGGAGGTGCGGAAACCTAACGGAAGCGAATATGCACCGGACACTATATACTACTTGGTTTTAGGTTAGTATTAGAATAAATATAATGCAAGTACAATGCAGGTATTTGATGAGCGTAAAACAAGCGTATAAAATACTTTAAAAAGTTTATCTATACTAATATTATAAAGCTGAAGAGTTGGTTTGCACGCGCACATCTCAGGAACTACTGTTTGGAATTGACAAATGCTGTGTTGGCTGGACCCTTAATCGACGAAGGTTCTAGGCTATAAAACATCAGGCTGCGATTAATTAAATTGAATTGAAGATTTAATTTATTTTCCATTTTAGGTATACAGCAATATTTATTCGAAAACGGTAGGATAGACAATATATTCACGGACACGTATTACGAGAAGTTCACGGACTGTTTGGATGAAGTCGCGAGAAAGTTCTCTGTTTTATATAATGATTCACGTAAGTTACATATTATTTATATATGAAAGTCGTTGGCATATAGATTCAGGGTCACATATTTCATCCATCGATGAATTTAAATACAAAAAGTGTAATAAAATATTAAATTGTGTGCTATATATTGGTATATGCACTTATCTTCAAAATTAGATGCAGGAAAAACTTTTTTATTGGTAGAATAAAAAAGGCTCTGACGTATTTACATAAAGCCCTTTTAACGGTAAAAAACGCGAGATCTGTTGTGTAGTGCAATCCTTTCGAAACTTTCGGCGGTACTTAAAAAAAAGTTAACATTTTGGGTTTTAACCGTTAAAAGTGTTTTCTTTAAATGTTTACTAATCGCGTACAAACAAAGCTTTGAAATAATTACTTTTTTATTTAATCAATATGTTTTTTTTTAATAACAGAGTATATAGTAACTAGAGTGGAGGAGGAACATTTATGGGAAAGCAAACAGCTCGGCGCGCATTCGCCGCACGTTTTGCTGTCTACCCTCATGTTTTTTAATACTAAACATTTTAATTTAGTCGTAAGTATACCAAAAGAAAACCTTATTAGGAATTTATTGTCAGAAAGATTCTAAAGTTCACTTAAAACTTTTCTGATTTTTTTATCAAGTTAATGTATAAAAAAATATATAATGTGGATGCCAGTTCAAGTTGTGCCTGTATCTTAACTGTATTTCAACTTAAAATAATTGAATTTAAAAGCATTATTCATTGAAAACATAATTGACTCATTAAGTATTCCTAGATCTGAATGTTAAACTATACAAGTGCACTTGACATTTTAGAATAGCACAGAACTTTCTTTCCCAGACAGTAGATGAACACATGCAGCTCTCCTTTTCTCACATAATGAAACATTGGAAGCGAAACCCCAATCAGCCCGGTCAAGCGAAAATTCCCGGGGCACGGAACGTTCTACTGCGTTTCTACCCGCCCCAGTCAGCGTTGGAAGCGAACTCGCGAAAAAAGAAAGTGTACGAACAACAGGAAAATGAGGAAAACCCATTGCGATGTCCTGTCAAATTATACGAATTTTATATTTCTAAATGGTGAGTTTATTAACTAAATGCTGATTCCAGCAATATTTAAACAACAAAACAAAAATACAACATTAAAAATGTTTTACAATGTAAAAGTTGTTATTAGGCTTTTGCGGCCAATTTGTGAAGCTACTTAGATTCTTGAAGAAATGTTTGTTGTGCTGAATAAGCATTTGAAGTCAACAGTTAGCTATTTAAATAAAACTTTTATCTTAGTTACTTTTATCTTTTTAGTTAACTGATTTTTAAACCATTTAAAGTGTGTTTAAAACTAACATAAATTAGACATAGCTTCATTCTGTATTTATTTTGATTTACATGTAAACATGTGTTACATTTTTTCAATTATGTTTTTTTATAAAGTAGGTAAGACATTCAATCATACCCTTACATGATTTTGTAAACCATCTCCCATGTAAGCCATTTGAATACCTTGTCGCGATTACATGTAGTGTGATTGGCAATTTTTTTTTTTACAGCCCCGAGTCGGTGCGCACGCGCAACGACGTTTTCTACCTCCAGCCTGAGCGGTCCTGCGTCCCGGACTCGCCAGTCTGGTACTCCACGCAGCCTCTGAGTAGGCACGCCCTCGCTAAAATGCTGCACCGTGTTAAAATGGTTAAGGAGATAAATATAGCGCTTCTCACCAGCTAAGGTATGGACATTTTTTTTATTGTTTTAATAGATCACAACCTGAGATTAAGCCTAAATATTTGTTTCTTCTTATGCACATTAATGAGAAAATAACATTTTTTATTTCAGACTACTCCTACGAGTGTTTTAATGGAGAACATTCGTGATAACTTCTACAATGTCAGAAAATGTCTAGGATTCGTGTCTGTTCCACAAACTTCGACTTGTAGATAATGTTGCCAGTGTATTATTATTGTGAAAATTACAATGTATATTTTTTTAACTTTGTATATCAGTCTGCAAAGGGGGACAATTCGTTAATTTTTAATTATTTTAGTTTATATTTAATGAGGATTTTAAAAACTAATTGTGTGTGACTGTTTTGTACAGATCATGAATGACTAGATTTGGTTAAAAAAAATCTAAATTATTGCAATCAAGTGTTCTATGGCGTTTAATATTTTCTAATACGAAGACTATTGGTTTCCTAATTCTAGACAAATTGCCTCTGTACAGCTATGCGATACTAATTCGATAAGTATTGAATATTTGGTTTAAATTTTTTTACATGTATGTAATATAAACTTTTAAAGTGTACGACAACTAGATTTAAGCAACATGAATTCCATTTTCTTTTTAAAAAAAATGATAGGCCCTCTTAATTATTATGGAGTAACATTAATTAAGAAATTTAAATATGACAGATTTTTTTTATCGTTTATTATAATAGAAGAGTCAAGATTTCATATATTATGTTAAGAATTAACTGCGTTTACTTTAAGGTATAGGTAATTTACTGCTGTGTAAAAATATTACAGATTCTCAAAAAGTATGTGTTTTATTTATGGTACAATTTATTTCCTTAGCTTACTTCAGCAAAGAAGGAGAAAAATTTTCTCTCTTAATTTTCTAATTATAAAGCTGAATTATTTATTAGTGACTAAATACACATCATTACGTAGAGATGTGTAGATAAACTATTGTAAGAAGAAATTTTTCTTTTATAAAAACTTCAGTTTACAACAATTTATTGCACCTCTTTTAACCCCGCTTGAAATATACATGGGTACAGTTTTATGCATTGCAAGAAAGAACTAGGCAGCATACGGTATACTCTATATAGCTCTTTTCTTTTGTTTGTGTAAAGCACTTTTATCTATGCGCTGTCATAATTTGACATCTGTCGTCGCCTGGCCTCCTCGACGCCGTCCCTGGACGTGCATGTTTCAAAATTCAATTTTAACTTCAAAGGTAGAAGACGAGCAAAATTAACAGTGGATAAGTGAAATTTATTGTGTTGCGCGATCCATGTGGAAACATGATAATGCGTCTTGGTTAGATGCGGATATGGATGGCATGAGATCGTGCTCAAATTACGAGGCCGGTTTTGACGCGTGTGATCCGTTGGAGTCAGTTTTGGAGTGGTCCGGGAGAGGGCCAGCGAGGGTTTTGCGGCGGCGGTGCCGCAGCGAGGGCATCGATCGATCTCCTTACGAGGATGCAGCGCGCGAGTGGTCTAGATCTGCAGACATTGCTAATCGCCATCGCGTCCTCTCTAACAAAAGCCATTTCACGATAAACAACGGACACGAACACCGTCACGATAGATTTCATTACGAGTGCTCATTGCCCAGCGCTCAAAACGGAGACTACATCATGAATCACGATTATAATACTCGCCATGGGTAATTAATCACCCAAAATTATAAAAAATAACCTAATAATCACATTTTTGACATAACCTTGTATACATTCATTTGCATATTTTATAATTCTGTAATAAATGCAATATCTAACGAAGATAATATTGTTTTGTTTCAGATATCAGCCAGGAAGATCTAAATATCACAGATCAAGTCCAACACGACCTATTGTAGTTACAACTCTTTCAAATTCTAAAGTAGACGATCGGTTGCCCAAAGTTGAGGAGTTACTAGAAAAAGTGGATCATGAAATGATGGATGTTACATCAAAGCAGCCTTTGAAGTCAATACTCAATAATCCATTGCCAAAATCCCCGCCTCATAGTATTTTAAAAAAGCCAAAGGCTAAAATGTATCACGATGGTAAACATGTTGAAGGAAGGAGGCGACAGCGAGCTTCAAGCGAATCAGACAATTTCTATTGTAGCTTTCATATTACATCCCCAATGCCAGGATATGATAGGTAAGTTCTATGCTATTAGACTATTAATTAAAGACTAGTAATGATGTTGCCCCTATATGGGCATAATTATTATTAGCCTTTTATGAGTTGAGTTTCAAATCTATTGAAAGTTACTTGTCGCAAAGCATTACATTTACAAATTAGGGTAGTTAGAAATTACAATAACATTATAGTTTATTTCTAGCCAATTATCATACTTATCAAGTAACATGAAGAGAGCGAAAGACAATTCCGGTACTGGATATTCCTATGGCTCAGCAGTGGCTGCTTTGAGTTCAGTATCTACAAATAAAAGCTTAAATTATAGTAAGGCAAGCGTTCACACAAAGTGTTCATGCAAGGATCAAGTTATAGTGACTCCTAAGGATGATGTGTTCAAAATGCATTTGTTACGGACTACGGCTATTAATAGTGTTACTGAGGATGATTTGCCTAATATTCAAATGGTAAGTACAAGTATATCAAAGCTATATAATTATATTTTCTAATTATTTTCTACCCTCCTTTGCAGAGGATTTTGGATAAATCCAACTCCCATTGTGCCCTCCTCAAACTTTCTGGTTTTAATTTTTACATCTCATTTTCTTGGACAGTGTCATTTCCCATGCGTCACAATTTTTCTAATGCTAAATATATAATGGTAAGACTAGGTATCAGCAAATTAGGATCTTGTCAAAACTTGTTACATTCTACTTATTAACACAGACTGAGTACTAAAAGTGTTCTCCAAGGCATATAGGTAACTTCCAAACTCCGGGCTAGTACTAGAAATCTTAGAAGAAAAAATAAGTAACAATTTGCGTAAGCAGTGATTTGAATTTCAGACCATGTTCTGCAGTTGAACTCATGAAGCAAAAGATCAATAGTTAGAAATTAATATTAAATACAACCGCATAAAAATATATAAGCAAATAAATACAAGATTAATTTCAAACTTTTTAATTAAAAGTAGTACATAGGGGTACGCCAAGAGCTATTGCTATATTCAAAACTTAAGTGTGTACCTGGGTTTATGGAGGAAAAGGATATGGTGCTGGCATAGTAACTCCGCTAAATGTTTATATTCACATATACAACATTATAGTTAGGTCAATGAATAAATTTATATAATGCACATATTGATGTTAAATTTGGGATTCTGAGAATAGGAACTTTTTCTCAAGTGATACATATATTTAAGATATAGTCATATTAGTACACAGGTTTGTTTATAACAACAAATGTAACAAGTGCCCTAAATCATAAAGCTAAAAGTAAAGAAGACTTAACTGCCTCTATGGGTGAAATAGTCGGCTTCTATAGGAGTTTGTAAAACAGGGTGCCTAGCATCTCTAAGGTGCAAGAATGGCTTAATACAGAATCCGGGAGACAATTATAAAATGTTACAATGGCCCAGTTTTTAAAGCGTATGCTGTTGTATGTATCTTATGTGGTTGGGTGTTTTGGGTTTTGGACCAGACTTCAATCAACATCGCAAAGCAAGCATAGAAAAAGTTTACTTTGTTGTTAACCAAATTCACATTATTTGTGCAAATAAACTGCATGTGAAATAAACTTTCAGATTTGCATAGATGTGATCCACTATTATACAATGAACCACTGACCTGATTACATTTAGCTTTGTAACGGTTTACAACCTTTAATTTAGTAGCAAAGGGGATTTAAGCATTATAACTTTTAAACATAAGAGGATAAAAGGTTACTGACGCCCTGCATTAACGCAACTGCCTCAATGGTCTTTGGTTAATATTCTTAACTGCTGAGTTCCAGGGTTTAAATCTTGTAACGTATTCGGGATTTTGAACTCGGTCTCATGGACTACAAAAAAAAGATCTTAAAGGAGTATTTTGATTGCAAAAAACATTCAGGTATATAATAATGTCAATTTTAAAGTCTATATCAAGATTGTCTCATTTTAAATGTGTTGCATTTTCTTTGGTGATTTTTACTGTCAGTTAACAAATTATAATTTAATTAAACTCATAAATATAGTTTAATAACGATTATTGACACAAAATAAATATAAGTAGCTGTGCTAGCAACTTCGTCAGCGTAGAATAGCGTACCCACGACGTTGTTCGTGTTCCGTCGTTCTTGAAAGTTAATCTTCCCGGCTCAAGCAACGGAAACACTCTAAGAAGAATAATTTACCCCAGTTTCTTCGATCCTACTCGTACAGCGCAACATTTTATAGCCTAAAGCCTTCCTCGATGCTCTCAACACAAAAATATTTTCTCAATTCGAACCAGCAGTTCCTGATATTAGCGCGTTCAAAGAAACAAACTCTACAATGTATATATAAAGCTGAGGAGTTTGTTGAAAAATTATTTTTGTGTTGGCTAGAGCATTTATCGAGAAAGGTGTGTGTGTGACTAATAAAAGCGAAGATACAGCGGGAAATGTGAAAGGGGGAAATTTTTCATCTCTGTGGGTTTCAGATACTTACGCTGCGAAAATGGTTCAAAACACCCAAAAAATATGTATGAAAGAATGATTCCTCTTTAAATGATTAAAAAGAGTACGCAACACTATAGCTCTATTAAGATTAACTTGCAAGAACGACGGAAGAAGACAGTTTAAATTCATAAAGATGTTTTGCAAAAACAAATTTGGATGCCCAAAATAACTATTCGACGCGGACAAAGTCGCTGACACAGCTAGTTTATAATATTAGTATAGATCGTTAGGTTAACTTTAAACTTCCCGATTCACTAAATCACAATGCTCTAGATATTTAACAACACGACTACTAATAAAGGGGTTACATTTTCCAACTTTAAAAGTAAATTTCAGTCGATTCACGGGTTTTCGCGCCCGTTACTTCCCAGTACGGCGCTCATTTCAGTATAGGACGCGTACTGGCGCATCGCTTGGCATATTTCGTTCTTATCTAACAGATAATACAGACTAAAGTGGACTAGCCGAGATTAAATTATTGTGCGTAATTATTGAGCGATACGGTCTAATTTATCGTTACGTGCAAGTTTTCGGAAGCGGTGGAAGTTTTTACAGAGATATTCTCGTTGAGCGGTCGAGTGTCATGTTATGTTGAAATGCGGCCGTGAATGTTTCAGCGGCGGACAGAAATAAACTATTGTTTTTGATTTATTGTTATCGTGTCGGAATGCCGTCTTTGAAGAAGATCTTCTTGAAATTATGCCGCGGCGTGAGTTTTCTTAGTTTTTACATAGGTTAACACAAGGGACATAACGGAGTGTTTGTTTTATGGAATTGCGTGAAACGGGCGGGAATCGAACTCGCGACACAACTTCAATAGTGTCCTAAGGTTGAAATTATGTCGCGGCGTGAGTTTTCTTTGTTTTTATATAGGATAACACATGAGAGACATACGAAGTGTTTGTTTTATGGAAATGCGTGAAACGGGCGGGAATCGAACTCGCGACACAACTTCGATAGTGTCCTTAGGTCGATAAAACGCTGCAGCTAAGCTACTAGCTTGAAGTTCGATAACGAGGGCCTAGGTTTGATTTTTTTATTACACATTCTGATTTCTATAACGTAACATAGTCCATTCGTTGTGCGCGATTAGATTGGCTATTGATAGTTGTATCTTGTTTATCAAGTTAATTTTTTAATTCGTCTAGTTTTGAAGTACCTAATATGTATTACGCGCAATTTGTCTATTTTATGAATTTAAATAACAAAACTTTGAGACTGATTTAATTGAAGAATTTAGCCTTTTCTTGGTTATACAGTCATTTACAAAATCTAAATCGTCAAGAAAAACTATTCAATGTCTTTATTTTATCGAAGACAATCTAATTAACTAGTGTTTGATTATTAGATTATGTAGGTATAGACTTTTATTTGCTAACTTTTCGCATATCCATAAAAGGTGATAAGATGTCGCTAAATTATAGTTTATTACGATGTTTGTTAGTGTTTTAGGCAAAAATATAACTTGTATATTCTGTATTACCAAACTGTTCATTTTACTTTAATGGCGTAAACGTAAGAGCTCTTAATACCTTCTTGCTGGGTACAGCAATTTACTATAAAATTTTGTATAACCAGTAACAGTGAAATCCCATTCTCCGTGGGGAGACAAACACATTCCTCCGTCTCCTGTCTTCAATTCCCTGATTTATTGATATTATTGATCATAATTTTGTAGGGCCTCTCCTGCTTAATGTGCTAGGCAAAACAATTAACTGTTGAGCCACGGCAGTTATCAGTAGAGTAGATTCTCTATATGTGGTTCTTCTTTGAGATGTTTTGAGACACAATAGCAACACTAGGTGTGCTAACAAAATATTACAATTTTATACTTTAGTGGGATTAATAATTCATGCCACTGCTTTACAAAACTGTGACGAGAGGATTTACAAATTGCGTGCACATGGCATCATGACACTGGTGGAACTAAATTGGGAAAGCAACAGCACGATATCAAGTTGTCGTAGGTTCAAAACCCGCCTGTTACTCAAAAATCCGTTAACGAACGATGCCGCGGCTTAAACTAAATAGTAATAATGGGAGAAGGTAGTCGTTTATTTATGAAATATTTCAATAAAGCGTTATAATAATAGTCAATACCATAGATTAAATGCAATTGTAAATTATAAGATCAATTGTATCTGGACAGTTCTAGATATTATTATCAATGTGATAACGAATTTTTTGATTGTGGCTTTAGTGAGAGCATTTGAAACTAGCTGCGACTGCCTGAATAGAATTGAAATACTGAGGCGTTTATAATCGTAAGCCTTGAGATTTGATTTGCCAAAGTTTCTGTGTCATAATATTGTGTTAATTTAAGAAAAAAAAAATACAATGTCTTATAATGTGTTACGAGCAACACGCCTTGTTATTTTCAATCAAGTAGGTTATCAAATTTTAAAAGGAGAATTCGTTATGACTTAACAGTCATGACAGATTATGCGACTGGATGGTTTTTAATTAAGAATTCAGGGACTATATTATAATAGTGTAAATCGTAGAATAAAGAGATGATATCATCTCACAAAAGACCTGCAGATCATTTTATGTGTAAAAATGTTTAATATAAATTTAAAAGCTATTACGTGTACTAAATGCTCTAAAATTCAAAAATATAAAAAGTGGGAGAAATAATCAGGAATCCGGTTAGGATCCGGTCCTAGCAATAAGGGCAATTGTTTAAAAATGCTACAACGCTTTATTTTAAAATGATAAATTATAATTTTAGCTTTCAAAAATGTGCCTCATAGCCTAGTTATTTGTATGGTAAGGAATATTTCATTTGACAGGACAATGTTAAATATATTAGATAGGTAAGTTTTTCGTATTATAATATCTCTTTTATTGTCGCTATTTCGACTCTAAACTCCATTGTCATAATGTTGCGTATCTTATATTTTGACGCAAATAGATAATCAATTATACCGAACAGATTAGATTCGTGTTATCACAATCTCGCCGACGATCAAATATTATGTGAACGGATTTATGAAGCTTCGCAAATCTCAATAATGGCTTTATTGCCGCTATCATAAAAACTGCCACACTTAAGAGCTTGTAAGAACTAGAAATATTAAAAAACAATGTCTTAAAACTATAATTATTTCTGTTTGATTTGGGTTAATGAGTACGTATGTATTTTTTACGTTTCTCGTGAATTTGTTTGTCACACTGTTTAAATTAAACCGTCGAAAAGCTAGTGTCAGTTTGTGGATTTCCCAGTGTCGATAGACAAAATAGGTCGAGCGCATATAATGAAGCTGCTGTACCTTACCTTTACCTTCCATTAAGTTTTGTCCACAGTGAAAAATAAATCTTCTGCCTTTGGTCGCGGATTTCTATCAAAATTGATTTAGTTTTGTATCCCTTTAGTAGGTATTGTACGTACAAAAATCTTTCTATTTTATGTAAAACATTCCAGTGTCCACCGTCAATGTTAACGTTGGTTTTTTTCTTTATTTCTTTTATATTTTCGTAGCCATCATAGATCCGTTTTATTAGATCATTACCTAATAAATGTATTCACGGTTCGTTAACGACATTTTCATAGTTCGCAGACAATCGGGTGACGAAAATTCGCTTTTCATTTAAGTGCTCTTAACTCTTAGGATTTGCGGCCGCAAACGAACCGCGGGCGCCATGCCAAGCGCACGAAATGTCAATACGAGGCATTGATACAGCAACTAAATGCGAATAATCGATTTATTGTGTTATTCGGTCGCGTGCGGATATTGAAAGTCGGTTATCGCTCAATTGCAATGTAATTCTATATGCTCTGAGTGCTCTCGCGAAGACCCATTCTATTTTAGTGGCGTCCCGATTCCGTGTTTTTGTTAACCTTGTGTCAAATAGCACGTGGCAGGTGCGAGGGAGGCATCGTGGTCTCGAGGTATGCTGAATCAAATGTCTTCGCACCTTTATATGGCTTCTGGATTGTTTGTTTAGCTGTTCTTTAAGCTTAAGCTCTTTAATTGTTGTCGCTTGAAACTTGAAACGTTTATGTAAGCGTGGATCTACCTATAAATAATTGACGGGACTTAATTACTCTTTTGTTAGTAATATAGAATTAGTTATTTCCCATTTCTTAAGAGCTGATAGCATACTAACTCTAAATCTCGAATGTCTTAAAGTACATTGACTTTGCAATCAATTAGTTCCGAAATATTAAACTTATACAAAAATAGCCGGTAAACGCCGAACTAAATCGATCATTCAGAACTCACATAAACAGCTAGTAAAACAAGCTAACACGCCCAGCATATATAATTTTATGTCAATATAATATTAGCAGAATAATATAAATAAATATGTTACGACTAAAGTAACCTAAACATGCGCAAACGCATTGCCGGAAGGAGTCGGTTTGTGAGTTGCAGTCTAAATTTGTAGTCTCGAGTGATTTCGAAGAGGCACGAAAATATACGCACAAATCTAGTAGGAACGGCCGTGACATTGACACGTGGTCACTCAATAGCTTTGTGGTCAGCTGTGGTTTTCATTATGTTATGATTTAGTGGTTATACATGATAATGATAAATTTATTAGGTATATAGACCAGCGGATACATCTGAGTCAACAGTATAAAGAGTAGGTAAAATACCGGCTACGTTTAGATTTTTAATTAATTATTAAAAAAATTGATTTGCTCAATTCGTTAATCAATTATGATTTTTCATCTGAGATCGCTATATTGTACAAAGACGAAGGAAGCATTTGTGAACCTGGGACGAAGATTTTTGGTATTATAAAAGATGGGCTATACAACCGTAATTCGAAGATTGACGTTTCTCTTCCAGCCCCGACAAGATACCCCAACGCGACCGGCAGTCAGCCCCGCGCTTCCAGTTAGCTCAGTCACGGCGATACCAGAAAAGAAACCGGCCAAAACCAAGAAGAAAGCCAAGACGAAAAAGATGAGGTCTAATAGCAAAGTCGACTGCAACATCATCGAAGGAGAGGGTGAAGAGTAAGTGGTATCTGCAATTACACATATATATTAAACTAGCTGTGCTAATGTATGTTGTTCAGTCAAATGTAATTAGAATTTATCGGCTATTTAAACAACGTGATTTACGACACCAAACAAATAATGTTTTCAATCTTTCTATATTAATGAAACGAAAGAGAAAGAGTCCAGTTATCTAAATTTAGTTATCTAACTTAAAAATATATCTTGATTTTTAGGATTAGTTAGCTGTTTTCCTGGATTTAATCTAGAGCCATAGCTTCAAAAACCTCTACAGTAAACATTAAACTAAATCTTAATTTACAGCTCACACAGCAGATCACCATCACCAGATCCAATAACAGACTCCTGGCGAATGGAAACGGATATAACTGACCTGGATAAAGCGGAGAAACCACCATCCAATATCCATGAACAACATTCGGTAACCAAGCTCACTAGTAAACTGAATGGTACGGTTATGACGCCGAAGAAGGTCCTATCTAGAGGTAAGAGATCGTGTATTTAAGCTATTTTATGACAAACGACGGATAAAAATTGGGTTCTCTCGTGGAAGACGATACAGGCATATAACTGTCGATCAATTTTGGCTTTGGACGTTAGAAAAAAAACATCTTCTAAAATAAACCTAATTTGTGTTTTTCGAGTTTGGTTTTGATTACATCTGCGAGTACGCGGCAAAATTGTTCAAATTTCTTTTTACTAGTTGAAGTGTATATTATGTATTGTTTTTTTTTTCGCTAAATAGCGCATAATAAAATAAACGGCATCTATCTCAAAATTACTCGTGTTTTTAAGTATATGAAGGATAAAAATAATCTTTATCTATTCTAGGATAAATTTAATACAAAGTAAATGGGACCGATCCAAAGATATACCACAATCAAATTCCAAACATTTGTGTTGAAACGTAAATTGTACGGTATGAGCAATCGTTAGTCATGCAATTTGGCAATAAACCGAGTGACGAATCAATCATAATATACGTCATACAGATTTAGCTCATTATGATGGAACATCGCTTATTAAAAATGGCTTACATCGTCATCGCTTACGTTTTGGGGAGCAATTCTAAGAGTATCTTTATGTCGCCCGTTATGGCAGTTTTGTATGAAACTGGCACAACTGGCGACATATGTCGCCGTCTCTTTGAGGATTGCCCCCTTGTTATGCATATGATCGCCCAATTGTATAACGTAAAAATAGACCGACAACGCATTCTTATTGAATGATTTGCAGCGTCGACTTATTATTAGAAATTCTGTTAAGTAACTAATCACTAAGGTAACAAACTCAGCCTAAAATTTAAATACAACAATTTTTAACGGTTTGAAACGAGAATAGTAATATTTAAATTAGCCAATTTCGCCAAATACTTATTACGAAGGAACGAGTGGCACTAGCGTAGCAGTTTTTGTTTTTACATTTGTCTCCCAAATCTCCATCTTCTGTCCCCCCTGTGACCACGATTGCTGCAAAGCATCTGAAACGTCGAGTCGCAGTTAAAATAAATTATAGCTTTATCAATTAATAATGTCATTTCGCGTTATAAACCGCTAAGCGTGTTTTGTTCGTATGTGTACTACTCGCGTAAACTACAGTACTTAATAATTGAATGTAGTAAACATTTTTACTACCTAATACCGGCGCTAGTAACTAAACTATACAGCATAATATTTCATCCAATTAGTTTTATAAAGTTGATACTACAATCGTGAATATTATGTACCGTGGTAATTTTAAGCTCTTACACGACGTGAGACCCTTTAATATTTTCTCTGGCAATTGGATAGATCTCCTACACTTAGCGTGGGTTGGTTGAAATGACGATCTTATATTAAGATGTGCTGTTTAAGACAGAAATACTTGCTAATGAGTAATCCACAGAAGTAGCGGCTTTTTTATCTAACTAGTTATTTTATCAGGTGACAAGAAAGTTCTTTGAGAACCTTAATATGTTGTCTTTTTACTTTCAGAAAAAGCAAATGACCATTTCTTAACCGCATTACACACGACAAATCCCTTCAAATCACTACCGACACGCAAAGGTTAACATTTCATTTGTAGTTGATGTTTTAGGCATGTCTTCGCTGTTAGTAGTTTGAGAATCGCTGCACTTATTTAGAAACTTTTGTATACTATTGTTTTGTAGTAGTTGTTAGTTCCAATTATTTTAATATCAAGAATAGCTCTATACTATAGTTGATGAATAATTGAATAAAATACTTCTAACGGTTTAAAACGCGAAATATTGATTGGTTTTTAATTTTGCATGCTCTTCATCTAATACTGTCTATAGTTTACGCGAGTAGTACACATTGAAATAAACACTTTAACGGTTTAAAACCCCGTGACCTCGGCTGCTGCAAAGCATCCGAAACGTCGGTACGAAGTTAAAAATCATTTTCAAATAAGTTTAACTAATATATCGCGTTTTAAAACGTTAAAGTGTTTTATTTAAATGCTTTTCATCCGCTTAGAATCAGTAACTAATATATTTCACACTGTAAATAGTTAAATGTGCTGTAATTAATGCGTACCATTTGCATAGCCTACAGCCTCAATGTTTCACTGATCTGTTTTATTTATAGACAAGTAGTTAAGCAGACTGTGCCCTGACCGATCGAAACAATTAAATAATAGCGGTAGTATTGAGCCAGGAATAGATTTCTTTAAATCTATTCCGCTTGTATGTTTTCGTGATTTATTAAAATTATTAAAAATCACCTATTCACTAGCTGTTTCAGCGACTTAGCGAATTTTTATTTTTTGCATCCAAATTCGTTTTTGCAAACCCCTTCATCTTTATAAACTTAAGCTGTTACTCACAAAGTCGGTCGTGTCCCTTCTCGTCGTTCTTGAAAGTTAATCTTATTAGATATACATGCAGCGTGATTTTTTTTACATCATTTAAAGAGGAATCATTCTTACATATTTTTTGGGTGTCTTGAACTGCATAATAATGAATAATTTTCCCAATTTTTTCACATTCATCGCTGTATCGCAAGCGAAGCTTGTATTAGTCACAGGGTAATGTTTCATAACTTATAGCCTTCCTCGATAAATGCTCTAACCAACACAAAAAGAATTCGATCCCGTAGTTCCTGAGATTAGCGCGTTCAAACATACAAACTCTTCAGCTTCATATATTAGTATAGATTAAGATCTTGTGTTGATCCTCCATTAAGGGCCAATTGGCCAAGTGTGTCCCTACAATTAGTGGGTTACATTTTTATTAGACAGAGCACATGTAGAAATCCAAGTCGCTTGATGTATAACTTATTTTTAAAGTCAATATTATATTTTTTATATACATGAATTCTCATCTATACACTGAAGAATATCTAAATACATAATCAAATTCATCGTTCAGCATATCATTGCCCGAAAGACAATGATATACATAATCAAACTATCTTTCCAGAATCACCGTTGAACCTATCAGAGTCGCTAGGCAACTGTCTCCGGCCGTCCTTATTCCCGCGAGTACCACCATACCTCAAGTTCGTACCTCACGACGAAACTATACCGCTCAAAGTCCCGGCCGCTATACAAAAACATCTGAAATGGAAGCTCACTACGATAACACCGATAGTTGTTAAGAAGACATTAATGAATTCCGGATTTCGATTGGTCAAGAGTGAATGCGATACGGCGGAGTGTCCACAAGAAGGTATTTATCAAGTCTATTGTGGTCGACATTAATCCGTAATCGTAAGTTGTACAGGAAAAACGACGACACGGTACAAACTAGCTGTGTCAGCGACTCGTCCCCGTAGAATAGTTATTTTGGGCATCCAAATTTGTTTTAAAATCATTATTTTATTATTATAGAATATTTTTTTTTATAGAAACCGTGGAGTGGGTGGGCATCTGGGGTAAACACATGAAGTCGTTAATGTTCAGAGCAATAAAGGACGGGCAGAAAATGAATCATTTCCCTGGCACCTTCCAAATTGGCAGAAAGGACAGGCTATGGAGGAATTTGCAAAAGCTATGCAATAAATTCGGTGTTAACGAGTTTGGTATTATGCCCAAGACGTACGTGTTGCCTCACGATTTGAAACTTCTGAAACACGAGTGGGAGAAGTACGCTGCTAATAACGAGAGGTGGATTATAAAGCCGGTGAGATATATATCATTGTTATATTAAACGACTCCCACATAATTTTTAAAAAAGAAAAAATAAATAAGTTAAATGTGCTGCTAATAATAAAGAGTTCATGTTTTCAAGTGAACTGAGCCTATAGCTGTGTATAGTTTATTTAAATACATATGTTCATAAAAAAAACTTAACGTAACGTAACGTAAATATTACATTCTAAACTGGTTTGGTCTGGCTTGTATGAAAAGCTAAGAAGCTTAAGCAAGAGCTTAACGTTTAACGTTTTCGGGGACATTATATCATATTGGATCATTTTAGAGAACTCATTCTATTACATACATATTTTGTGGTTTTTCGAAACGTTTACGTAGCGCAACCGGTTTACACTGTTTCTTCGCTCCTATAAGTCACAACGTGATTTATAAAGCCTTCCCCAGTAAATGATCTACCTAACACATACATTTATCAATTCGAACCAGTAGTTCCTAAGATTAGCACACAAACAAACTCTTTAGCTTTATAATGTATTTTCTATCATGTTCCAGCCTGCGTCAGCTCGAGGAACAGGAATAAAGGTTGTATCCCGTTGGGCGCAAATACCTAAAAAGCGTCCAGTGGTTGTTCAACGATATGTGTCCAAGCCTTACCTCATCAACGGTAGCAAGTTCGACTTGAGGTTATACGTCCTAGTTACGTCCGTCCATCCCTTAAGGATATACTTGTATAAGGATGGTTTAGCGAGATTTGCGTCAGGTACGAGCAAGTTCTTTTTTACATTTAATACAACTATAATTGAATAAGTGTATAAGTGCTCAAGCACAATTCAAATTGAAATACAAATCCTTTAAAAGAATGCATACAGAGTTAAATTAAACAATTAAAATTAATTGAACTATACGTACGGTCAAACAAGTCAGTCGGTATGAAAAACATAAACTTTTTAACAGTAAACGTTAATAAATAAAAGCCTATTATAGATATAATAATAATTTTGATATTAAAATTACTTTCCAGTTAAGTACAATTCCGAGCTTACATCATTGAACGATAGGTACATGCATTTGACAAACTACTCAATTAACAGACTGTCCAAAAACTACACACCAAATGAGGACTTTGCAGCTTGCGAAGGACACAAATGGTAAATACCAGGTTTATTTTCTTATCTCATATAATAAATAAATATTGTCATGAATAAATATTTAATTGTTATTATAATATACATAAAATCCCCCAGGCAGCATGGGGTGAATGCATTTTTGTGTTCGTTTCACAAATCGGTTCTTTTACAGGCAAGTCGAACCCAGGATTTCTCGCGGTTAATATAATGTTCGTCAACACGTTTTACCAATGGCTACAGAGGCGTGCAATAATAAACAATATTTGTTTTCCAGGACATTACAAACTCTTTTTCAATACCTTAAGACTGATAAAAACGTAGACACGGAAGCTCTATGGACGTCCATCAAGGACCTAGTTATCAAAACGATCATATCCGGAGAAGCCAGCATCAGCTCACTGACGAAGGCGAATATTACGTCCAGATATAATTGCTACGAGCTGTTCGGTATTGATGTGTTGCTGGACGAAGATTTGAAACCTTGGCTTTTGGAGGTGTGTATTTTATATATGTATAACTATATCTCATATATCAGCAAGATATGCACTGATACAAGGCTTAAAAAACTGTTACTGTTATATACTTTTGTAAGTATTATTATGCTCTAATTTTATTTGTGTCATATTTATTTTCCTTCAAAATAAGTTCATCAAATCGCTAATATATAATAAACGAGCAGTTAAAGATTCTTCTATCATAAGACCAAAACTACCACTCCAAAACCTAGTAAATATATATTATTGTAAATCCATTATTACTTTTTCCAGGTGAACATTTCTCCTAGTCTGCACAGTGCTTCGCCACTAGATATTCACGTGAAGGGGCCTTTAGTGTCTACTGTGCTCAACATAGCGCAATTCCAAGTGCCGATAAAAACCAACATAGAGATGTTATCTAAGGATAAGCCCCACAAAATGGTAAGTTATATAAGTTAAAAAGGGTGATGTTCTAAATCATGGTATGCAAAAAATAATATAAGTCTATTTATTTATAAGCTTAAAAGAACTTTAAACCAAATTAATTTGATAACAACACAAAATATATAACTGGAACCATTTAGCAGAACATTACGAACATGGTCGTGTTTCAACGCTGATTTTTCTGTTGCCATCGCTTCTAGAAGAACATAATAAATTTAAAACAACTTATGCGATGAATAAATCGTAAAAGATATATTTTACATCATTCATGACTTCATAATTCCATAGTGCTTATTATTTTTTTTAGGTTGGTCTACCCTACGATAGTAGATTATACACAGTATATTTATCAAAAGAAGAACGGGATAAACATATAATTTATACGAACATGGAAGATAGAGATATGGTATGTCTGTTCTATTATTACCTCACGTCGCTATTATGCCATAAAAAAAAGTTTAGTGGCATAACATTGTTTTTGTATTCCATGGTAATTGAATTCAAGACCGTTCACACATATGTATTATATTTATCACAATATTTCAGTATCTACGCGATATTCTATCAACTCTGACCCCCGACGACGTCCGTCACCTAATACAAGCGGAGGACGAACTGACGCAAACCGGCGATATGGAGCGAGTGTTTCCTAGCAAGGATTCCCATAAGTACTTGGGCTTCTTGGCCGGTCCGCGCTACTACAACCGGTTGTTCGACGCCTGGGAGACACGATATGGAGATAAAAGAGACCCCGGTAAGTGCAGTACCCCCTAATTAGGACTGTGTTAAGTGTTAAATGTTCAAACATCCTTAAAAGTGTGTGAGCTGTATTTATGTTATAACTCTTCCACGAACACAAACAGGTTCGTAAATGTACATATATAGTGGGCAATACTGGAAGTTTCGAAGTAAGAGGGACGGAGTCTTAAAATGTCAATTTTAAATGCATCTTACAATGATAAGACGCTTTTTATTGGAACATTAACAAATCCTCAGGCTATTTAGTAATAAAATATATCCCAACTAATGATTGTTTTTTAGTTACTATGCTAACTCAAATAAAGCGTACGTTTACTAAAAATTTTAACTATTATGTTTTATTCACAATAGTACATATGTTTGAAAACATTAATATCGTTTACATGTTATTATTGCACATGAAGGCACCATATAATTTAAAATTCGAAAATAAATTGAAAAAATTTTCGACTCGGGCAGGACTTGAACCGCCATCGTCAGCGTTCCGTGCTGTTGCTCTGTGATGAATTTTAAAATACATATGTTTAAAGAATAAATGCAGTTATTATTAAATTCTCCAAACTATAAAAAAATATTTTTTTTTACTTTTAGTAAACTTTTATGTTTAAGTAGTAATACTTTCTTTAATTACTCATACTCTGCTCTCAAAATTCCAGGCATTGAGCTGCTCCGAAACCTGTGTGACATCGGCTACCACTTGGAGGTCCCGCCCGTGCCCCTAAAGGTAAACACATTCTCAGCATCACCTGCATTCTCAGCATTTTCAACACTGTTAGCATTCTCAGCACTGTCCACACTGTCTGGGTTGAGGAGATGTATGCACGCGATATTAGCTTTTGTGACCATGATCAAAACATCACTGTTGATGTGACCAACATTAGGGTTTGTCGTATGCTATATGAAACTTTTACTTTGAAAAGTCATTATGTTTACAATTGCATATATTCTTTATACACCTCTATATCTAATTTGTAAAAGTACCTTATATTTTATATAAGTCGCTGGCAGAAATAACATTATCGTTTTTTCAAATCCCAATATCTATATAGTGGCCCTAAATTAGTTTCATATAGTCATACGCTATCAAGTCAGTATTCTCAGTACTGTCCACACTGTTAGCAGCATTCTCAGCATTACACTGACCGGGTTGGAAGATGCACGAGGTCGTAGCTTATGTTCTTGGGATAAGGAGACTCCACCGATGTTGTGGTAGTTTTATTGATGTTGTCATGGCAACGACTATAAAAAAGTAATTTAGTATTTTTAAAAGTGAACTCATAAATGTCATTCTACAGTATCTTTTGACTTTTGGTCTTTTGTTGATTGACTTTTTATAAGATCTGTTGTCATCGAGATTTATAAGGAAATTAGCCTCAAATGTTTAGTTTTTGACGATACTAATAATAATAAAAGGTCATCTATTCTCACTTACTTACCGTTGCCTTGACTGTCAAAATGTAAATACCACGACATCCACTATAATAAAATTGGCAAGTTAGTTTGACACAAAAATCCAATACAAATATTTTTATCTTTAATTTGTCCATTTGATATCAACTAACTTGCTTCGTACGCTGTTTCGAAAACGTACCACTGTTTTAATAGATACCCAAATTAAACTCGGTATTTATCTTTACTGTGGTAAAGTCTTCAATGTACAGACAGCCTGGATGCGATTCCTGAACATAAAAAGTGGATTGAGCTGGGCAAGACGCAAGAGACTGTTCAAATCAGTTACAAACATATGTTCATCGTGCTTCAAGTCTAAAATGCTGCGTTTTGTACGTTTTCAAAACAGCACACGTATTATTTTAAATTATAATTTTTATATGCTTGCTTTTTATTTTAATCGCGTATTTTTTATATATTTATGTATGTATTTACTACTCTTTACAAATCTTATTGAATGTGTATATCCAAATTGTTATTTTCATGAAAGAATGTAAGTTTGGTTGCGAAACGTTATTAAGTATAATAGGTACATGTATACGTATGTCGAAACACTAAAACCGATAGTTATTTTTATTTCGGCTCATATCATTGAACAAAATATCAAATATGGCGGATATTTATATTAATTTAATATTCATATTGTTATTCTCAAATGGATGATAAACATCTACGGAGTAGATAATGGAATATCTTAAACGTTATGACGTCATAGTATATGTTAAGTATCAGTTAAACACTGTTTGTAGTTTACGCGAGTATTACACATTCAAATAAAACACTAACGGTTTAAAACGCTATATTTATTAGAAAAGGTCGGTCCGTAGTTAAAAGAATTTTAACTAATGTGTATAGCGTTTTAAACTGTTAAAGTGTGTATTATTTAAAAAAAAGTATAAGTTATTGTATTTTGAAGTAGACTTTTTTAGTAAGTTCTTTATTTTTTATTGTTCATTTGTTGTATTTCTTTATATGTTGTTATATCTTTCTTTTTGTTAGTTTTGGTTTATTATGACGTCATAAAATTTTAGAGATTCCGTACGTTATCTTCTTAATAGATATTGCGGTATTCATCCCAGTGTATATGTAAACATAATATGAATTTTGGTTATGGCTGACCGTCAGGGCAAAGTGACCGGTGTACTTAGAAGGACGTACTTGGGTTGTAAACGCGTCGCTCACAGTAAGTCCTTAGACTGGAGCAGGCTGAAGGCTTGGGCCAGACTGTCTGAGCGGCACATTGTCTACCCGACAGATACTGCCATAGACAATAGACGGAATAGAAATAGACGTGGATTTTATGGCTAGAGTGATTAGTGTAACTGCGCAATGTAGAATCAATTATGGTCGGCTGGTCTGACGTAAATTTTCATTGTGTGTGGCAAAATATTGACAAGTTATTATTATTAATACAAAAATGGGATCATCCTTGTTAGAGAGCCAATATCTGATACAATTCTGTAGTAAGCAGGTAAGCGGTCTTATGGACAAAATTAGAAATATATATAAGAGACGATTGCATGGAAAATAAAACTCAACATTTAAAATATAACTGTACTTTGTTTATTCCTAAAATCATTATAATCTTAAGGAATCAAAAAATAAAAATAGATCATAAGATATTTATCTTACATATATCTGTCAATATATATAAAACACTATGAAAGTTTATCATCAACTGTCGGACATAATTGACCTAAGGTTTTATTTGTTATATGACGTCTATAGCTAAGTGGTTAATGCTAGAATTGTTCAACCGTTCCTTTTCGCATGACAGGACCTGTATTTAAAATTTTAAATGTAAGACATAAATATCCGTTTAAATGTTCTGTGTGACCATAGTTTAGAATAAAGCTAATTTTAATTTTATTATAGGGTCACACTGATAGTACTAACATGAGTAGTAATAATAAAATAATATTTTGAAATTCGAATTTTTACTTTTTAAGCTGTAAAGTAGAATAGAAGAGTCGAAATTTGAATATATTGAATTCTCGTCGATGACAGTAGTTGTCGCTATGTTGTTCAAGGACTAGGTAATATTTGATGTAGTCGCTAAACTGTTGTGATTGTTTTTAGTCAGCCAAGTATTGGGAGATAGACAATGTTTGTGAAATTACTCTTTTATTATCCACGTCAACTGTTTGAAGGTAATACTTTTATATGTTAGATACGTGTTTTGTGTAATTTACGGTGCCTTTCTATATTGTGTATAGTATAGTTTCTGTAATACCAGTTTCTATGTAATTATATGTATTTAATATTTTTGTATGTTGGTTTTTTAAACGCTACTCCGCCGAAATACTAGTGTAGGTAACCATATAGTATGGACAATATCATTAGTTGATCAACTATCATTACGTTCAATCATTCAATAATTAGTAGCAATCATGCTTAGAATAATAGATCTCATTAAAGCTGATCGCAGTTTTGTCAGCATCGTTGGTGCCGTATGTTTAAATGTACGGGGCTTTCAGCAAATGCGGTACGTTGCTGAGAAGTCTGCGATCACCTTTCAAACAGTTCTTGTCGATACATTATTTCAATTTAAAGGTAAGAACATATTTATCATTGACTATTAATACTATAAATTATTAATGCATCTTTATATCCAGCTTAATATTTTTCCTCATGCATCATTCTAATTATACATTACATTGCACGATCACTGTTTTGTGTGCTGACCACTACGCTGTTGTCTCTTTCTGTTTTTATATTAGTGTGAAAGAGATAAATCGCTTCCCCATTCTTTGCTTCATCGCACAACACACTAGAACACATTACACACCTAGTTTATTTAAAATAATTGCTCAATGATTTTACTTAGTGTGAGAGTTACTGCTAGTAATAGCTTAATGCCGCTTTACGAGTCCTTGACTGTCTAAACGAAACCGCATTTAAAAATTGTGAATGTGGGTACTTTAAGTGAGGGTAAGACAATCAGAGATTTGTTAAGGCGGCGGAGCTCTTATAATTTGTCTCATATAGGATGATAAGTTTGACAGTTCATGGCTATGAATTGTTATATAACAGTGTGTTTACGGCAAGTTGTAGTCTACAACTAATCTTATGCGATAGCATATCATATAGCATGGTAGAAAAAAGAAAAAAAAAACAGCATATTGACTCATTTTTCATGTCCATATAAAATAATAAATCGAGAATGGATTTAAAAATTCTCACACACACAGCCGACTGTCAAACTCACCGTCCTATATTAGACAAAGTATAAGTAACGGTGCCCTCCGCCCCGTCCCCTCCCCCTCTCCCGCACCCCGCTCCGGCCCCACGGCCCCGTGTTGTAGTGGGCGGCGGCTGAGCTGAGCGCGTTGGATTGCAGAATGACATTGACGCGCCGTCGCCCGCGCCCTCCGAGCGGCCCTCTCTCCGGTCAGTGCCGTCGGACCGCGGTTCGGTGGCCGTGCTACCGACAGTTTCCGCGACCACTGTCCCGCCAGTGCCCGGGGCGCCCTCCACCCCCGTGTCGCTCCCGCCGGCCCGCAACAGCTCCCCGGTCACGCGGCCCTGCGGAGACGCCCTCGCCCTCCGGCCTCCGCCCGCCCTCGAGCCGAGAGCCTAGCCCCCCCCACATAGATCTCAACATGAACAAGTGCCACATAGACGACAGCGCGGCGTCGAAACCATCCTAATACTGTTCTCGTGCGCGCGCCTGTGACTTCGTGCGCTTGACTGTAAAAACTCAGTGTTACTACTATACTATTATAGACAATAGAAGATGCTGTGTTTGGTGATTAGGCAACGACATCAGTGCATGCATTGATTATCTTTCTTTGTAAAATAATTCAGGTTTATACAGGTCAATGTTTAATCTGACAATAAACGAAAATTAACTACTACAAAAGTCCACATAAAGGCTTTAAATTTTTCAACACATAGTCAAATTATATCTGTTTCTTTTATATATATATATATATATATATATATATATATATGCGCAACTGGTTTGTATGGTCAAATAGGAAAAGGAACATCAATGTTTCGCTTGAAGTATAAATTTTTCCCACTACGAACTCAATAGTTTTACATTTGTGTTTTAGTTAACATAAGAAATGAGAGAGTAAGAAATGTTGACTGCAAAACTAGAATTCATGCAAAATGCTACTTCTGTCTCGTGTAAATTATTCGGTCCTGCATTCTAGTTCACTGCAGTTGAGAGCTTAAACGATTGTTGACGTTAAGAAATTATTAAACAAACGTAACTCGCCTAGTTATAAATGGACATTCCTAAACGTTTCGAAGAAAAAAAAAACGAAAAATTCTTGTAAAGAAGACAAATATTAGGATACATTGTACAATTCAAAGCTTGTATTTATTTGTTAGAGTTGCTGAAATTACGTCTTTGAAGTATTTGGAATGTCGATTACTATCAAATCAATTTTCGTTGCTCAAAATAGTTTGGAGAAAAAGAAACTAAGGTTACTTCTTAGTTCTATGACATCTTTAAAATGTGCGAGCAAAGAAAGTTGATTACATGTGTTCAGATTCTAGTAAGCTAGAGTGACTAGTACGTAAAATCAGATTCGAAAATATTTTTGAGTCGAAATCCTTGGCGTGTTTGTGAGAAAAGTTAGCACGAATTCTACTAGTATTTATTTTCGGGTAAATATTTTTTATCACCCGATGTATTGACGTGCTTTTCTTACCAAACGTTAGTTAGGTCTTAGTAAAACTATTGTATTTTTCTTTATCAAATTGCGCATTTCCCGTTGTTTTGTATTTGTAACATTCCTTCAGTTAGGGTTTTGTTACTTAAGATATGAAATATTACGACTCAGAACAAAATATGATTTAAGAAAATCGTATATAAGTGTCCTTTTGTCTTAACTTTGATCTGATTTTGAGAAATTAAATAAAGTGTAAAAGATAAGCGTGTACTTATTAATAAAAATGGAGATGCCGGGGATCGAACCCGGGGCCTTTCACATGCAAAGCGAACGCTCTACCACTGAGCTACATCCCCGATAAACCCTTTACTAAAAATGTGAATAGGCTCATTTTACAAACATTAAATTCTTATCTAGTTTTTTATGATAAGGACTTACAGTAACTGACTGAAGTTCACTCAAAACATTATCTATATTAAAAAACGGACGAAATACCTATTTTGTCTCGCCACTTTTTAGTTTGTATGTGGTCAATTTATGAAAAAAAAAAGTTTTTTACGCATTAAAATCACGTTATATTTACTTAAATACATAGAACTCTTCAAATTAACTATTTGGTTGGATCAAAATAAACAAAAGAAGATCTTTGCAAGATTAATAATTTACTTCTCAACAATAGTTCTATTACAATAGTAAACATTTAACATAAAAATAATTTCTGTTACTCTGACTAGAGAATAATATCGTTAGATGATGATTTAAACCAGTAATCTTCCTCCATCTATGGGGTAACTACAACCAGTGATACTCTTGGCTTGGTTAGATGCAAGGAAGGCAATTAAAGCTGCAACCTCATTTGCTTCAACCAGCCGTTTCATGGGGGTTCCCTGTGCCATATTTTGAGCAAACATATCTATTTGTTCCTCTGTTAAGCCGCTATCTTTGATAATATTCGTTTTTATGAAACCAGGATTAACTGAGTTAACTCTGACCCCATCAGGCGCTAATTCCAACGCTACGCATTTTGTGAACTGATCTAGCGCGGCTTTGGACATATTGTAGGCTAGCATCATGGTGTTGGGTCTAGTACTGGCGATACTAGAGACATTTACGATACAGCCTTTGCTCGCGATCAGGTGCGGTGTAGCCAGCATTGTTAGCTGGAAAACAGCCCTCGTATTAACCGACATCATTTTATCGTAATCCTCCATATTGGTCTTCTTAATCCCTCCCATTGTTAACACGCCAGCATTGTTGACTAGAACGTCGATTTTTCCACAATTCTCAATAGTTTCCTTGACGATTTTCTCTAAATCAGCCTCCTGTGTGACATCGGCGACGATCGGAAGCGGCTTAACACCTTTCGCCTTTTCACAGTATAAGGCGATCTTTTTCAAATTATTCTCTTTGCGTCCGACGAGAACTAATTTTGCTGATAATTTTGATAGATGAATCGCTGTGGCAGCTCCAAGTCCAGAACTAGCGCCGGTGATCAATACCACCTTATCGTTGAAATCCATGTTTTTAATTAATTGAATCAAAACAAAACACTGTCAAGATATACAAATTATCGGCACAGCGACTTATCATATGACTGAAAATAGCCAATCAAATTGGTTTCGCTAAACTTGGTGTCTTGTCGGTGTTAGCTGTGACGTCCAGAAGACCTTGACAGTATTTCAACAACCCATAATATAATACAATACCAGTATATTAAATACGGTGGTCAGCTGATAGCGCCATTATCCGTCTATAAGCTTTGACAATTGACTAGATACAAGAATACATTTGACAGATTACTTTTTCACAGAGTAGCGAATCTAAACTAGATTCTAATAAAATCTTTCTAAAATAACTTTTATTTTAAACATAGCCATGCTTATAAATGTTAAGGTTAAAAATTGTATTTACCGGTTTTCTCGCCATTCCCAGGACTATAGGGATATTACTTAATACAACTTGAACGCCCTTTTAGTATATACTTTTCAGTACCCGGCATAATCTATTTTATATTGTTAGCTTGGTTTTAAATTATTAAGCAGTGTGTTATATGTGTCATCAAATTTAAAATGTAAACTAATGAGAAAATTTTTAATATTCTTTTATTGAGGTTACAAGTATTATAAAATAAAACGTAGCCACAAGAATAGCAGGCAATGCGCTTTTGATAGCTACTAGTGATTAGTGAAATACGTATTAAAAGTTTACAAATATATAAAAGTAGTTTATTTATTTATTTACAAACAATTCCTACCTTAACAGGTTAAACCTAATACGATAGAAAAAAAAATACAAATACATTAAAATATTAATAATTACATATTACATATGAAGCTACTTTTATGAATTCACCCAGGGAGCAGTGAAATATATCTATAGCCCGATCTGTAGCGTTAAGAATCCTAAGTGCACGCGTCAACGTCGCCTCAGCTAACAAGTTAGTGCGCGCACGAGGAACCACCAGCAATTGCGGACGCTTTCTACGGCTTATATATTCATTTGGCACATATAATGTTAGACGTCCCAAGATATCCAAGTTATGTACCTTTCCTGCCAAAATTTTGACCAAGTACGTTACGAAAGCCAGGTCCCTTCTAACACTGAGCTGATTATATCCCACCATGCCCAAAACAAAGAGTGTGGGATACATGAGCGGGTAAAAAGGATACACGCCATACAGTCTCATATATAAGTAACGAGTAAATTTATTCTGTACTCTTTCCAACATGAGATTGTACTTCGTCTGATATGGGGCCCAGATAATGGCATTTGCTTCAAGGTGGCTTCTGACTAGGGCATTATATAAAACAATAACCGCCTTGATATTGGACAATCCCCACGCCATCCGAAGAACAAAACCTAGATTTCTGTAGGCTTTCATACAAATTTTGCTTATATGACTGTGGAAATTTAGATCATTTTTGAAGTGTACCCCCAAGTCTTTCACTTCAGTTAATCGGATTAGAGGTGTCCCATCCACGTGATAATCGTACATGATCGGCCTGTGAGTTCTAGAGAAAGTGATCGTATTGCATTTTGATGCGTTAAATTGCAAAAAATTACACTTACTCCAAGCCACAACCCGATCAATATCTCTTTGCATTTCTTCACAGTCTTTATTAGTTTTAATAGACATATATAGTTTAATGATAATCAAAGAGTCTTTTTAACAATTTTTAATCATTAAAATATAAAGTTAAATAAATACAGTACTAACATTTCGTACAGTCCAAACTCTGATTTTTAAATACATATATGTTTAAGAGAATTTTGTTCAAAACAAGTTTTTAATATGTATGTTATATGGACGCACCCTTAGCAAATCGCAAGTAAGCAGCTGCCCCGTGTACTATTGCAACATCGTTCACACGAGGCAAGAATGCAACGTTGACGGAAAGAGGTAGCGACGAACTCAAAGGAGGCCGGCGCCATCCGACACTGCGTTTTAATGGGAATCTTCCACATTTCACAATTACTTCTTTTAAACATTATTACTGTGTCTCGGTCATTCCATATCTAGCATCGATAGGAACTAGACTAGTTTCTTTAGTAGTAAATTTAAATTGTAATTACATAAGTTTTATTTTAATTAAATTACTTTGAATTAATTTTGGTTTTTTTTGGGTCCTCCGGCGGCGACATCCATAATTGGCGCAGTCGGTAGGATACTCAAAAAAGCTTCGGTGGTTAGATTTTCTAATATCGATAGTCACTTTCACCACCGTAAGCGTAGGGTATCTAAAAGAATCGGGTGTCCCGGATCGGAGGATAAATCCGAACATTGATCCCAGAGGAACCAGAATGCAGTTCATGTAAGTACACTCAAATTTTTCTTGTGTGTTGCTTTCCTTTCCCTTTAAGTGTAATTTTTACTTTGCAAAATTTTTCATCCTAGGCAAACTACCCCTAGAGGGCCTGCGCGTGCAAAATTAGCTCGTAGGCTCGAATTGGATAGTCATAGAAATATTAGTGTAGAGTTAAATAGTACTTTAGATTCCTCGGTAGATTCGGTAGCTTACCAATCA